ATCAACATCAACATCAACTTCCATCGTTGTCGTTGCCGTTGTCATCGGTTCAAGCCAACTAGTGCGTTTCGTCAGTTATTCATACGATGTTTATGATTTGTAGCGCATTTGGTAAAATAGATAATTTATTGGAAAGGAATAGAGAAGAGAGGCAGTCAATCACTTTCTGAAATTTCCATGAAGAAAAAAAGAAACATACACAGACACACAGAGAGACACACACACGAAGAAACCATTCGACACGAGTATGACATGTTTTCGACTCACTCCTTAAAATAGAAGATTGAATACTTTTTTTCTGTTTGCTTTAGTCATGCGAGCATAAAGTAGACGTGGCACGCTCGAACAAATGTGACAAAAACTCAGCGAGCAAAAGAGCAAAGAAAAAACGACGATGACGACGAAGAAGAAGACAAACGGCATGAAGCAGAAACTTTCGGACGGAACTGCATCAACTTAATTGTTATTCGTTCACTTTTCATTATTTGTAAGCCAAAATGTTTGCTTTTGTCGCTAAATAGACCTGCAAAATTGAAATGCGTTTTCAAAGATGGCTTTTCTTTCTCTACATTTGCAACAACAACGAATTGAAGCCAGAGCAGCAGGGGAAAAGCAAAAAAAAATATGGTAAAAAAGTAACACCGAATGACGACCAAAAAGCGGGCGAGTGAAATGGTTGAATGCGACTTAATCGAATGAACTAACCACAAATGCTGTTTCGATAACTGAATCCACTTGTGTGTGTATTTGCGGGTGGGTGTATGGGCTTGTGTTTGTAACATTCAATGTTGTGAACGTGCGCTGAATTGTCGAAAGATGGGTTTCATGCGATCGAAAGCAATTTATAACAAATTCCCACTGTGCATTCGATTCAAATTGCGCAAAATTTAGGACAAGAAAAAGGATTTTCGAAATTCCCACCATATTCCACATTTAAAATCAATTACTTTTCAACCTGAGTCCCTTACTGTCTGTCTCTTGTTCTCTCTCTCTCTCTTTCTCTCTGTCTCCCCGTCTCGATGTCCTTGTTATCGATTTTCGCAATATAGCAAATGCGTACCAAATGAATGAAAAGCGTTTTCATTAAAAGTCGACCCGGTGAAAGGTATTTGATGTTTATTTATTTCTTACACGACACGACACTACATACATTCGCATACGCAGGAACAAAACAGTTTCGCGAAAGAAAAACGTCGGTAGATAAAAAAAAACAGAAGGAAAATCAAATAACAACAACACATTCCGTTTGATGGCCCATTAAAATACACGAATGTCTTCAATGAATTTCATCGGCACCTAGAAGAAAAACAATACGGAGTGTTAAATGAATTAAACGCATGTAGATCAAATGTCTCAATACTTTTCCGGTGTAGACGCGTGGAATTTTAATTTGTCTCCATTTCACCGTGTGGAAAAATGTGAGTATGTGTCGTGGTGTGCGTGCGCTACCAAACGCTTTCTCTAAACATTTCTCGAATTGTTTCGGTTTTGTTATTCATTCGCATGTTGACTGCCTATAAATTTTACCAAACAGTTGATTTTCACGTTAGAAATGAGTGGCGCAACCATTCATTTTCTATGTGCTACGCATGATGTGGATGATAGAGCGATGGTGCGGTCGATCGAACCACTAAACGAAACGAATGATGAAGAAGAAAAAATCGCTTAGATTGGGAGAAAGCGAAAACGTTAAGGCTCCGAACAGCCCACGTTTGTTTAATATTTGTATTCGGTTGTTAGGAGACTGGAAAACCAAAGTACACTTTTTTACTTTACCGTTTCTGTTGTTTCGCACGGAGTCTTCCTCTCTTTCTCTTCTTTCTTTTCCCACTCGGTTTTATTTGATGGAATTGTTTTAATTAATTCTTACCGGCGAAAGCACCGTTTGAAATTTACATTATTAAAAAAAACAATGAAATGGAGAAAATTGAAAGAAACAGAAAAAAGAAAACTTTTCGCAATTCAGTCGCCCAGACCAGAGAGGAAATGTTTATCAAATTAGTAAAATGGAAGAATTCGTCAAGAATTTTCTATATTAGTGGTTCGTTGGCGTCTTATCGGGGAGCCATATTCCGGATTGGTGTTTGTTTTTTGTGCGTATTGTGTGTTTTGAGATTTCCATCATCGTACCCGATTGGCAGGCAATGCTTTTAATTGTCCGGGTGCATCCAATCATCGCGATTGCTGTGTTGTGTCATCTGGGGCATTCTTCAGAAATGGAAATATGCCGTATTCAACATTTTACCATGACAAAAAGCAAACGACCATAGTAAATAACAGGCACAAAATATGATAAAGGCAAAAAGCTGAAGCCTCAAAACCAACAACAACAACACAAACACCACCATCACCACCGACAAAAAAAAACATCTTGAATATTCACAATGACAAACGAAAACCAACACAGTCACAATCACACAGCATATTCATGTTTGGCATACGTACATTTGTAAACATATAATGTGCCCGTCAAATATTTTGTAAATAAAGACGTTATTTAGTGTTATCGATGATTCCATCGAAAATAAATTATACACAGTCACAAATAGACGTATGAAAGGCGAATGAAGAATGGGGGAGTGAGAGAGCGAAAGCTGAAAAAAAATGGGCGAGAGAGAGAAAAAAACGGAGCGATCGAGTGAATGAATGAGTGAGTGAGTGAACGCACAATGGCTGAAGTGAAAAAAGCACACGGTGACAGACACAATGAAGAAGTGCAGTGTGTTTGTGTGCGACGCTTTTGTGATGTGTGTCGACGTAAATGTATTTCTTTTTTCTCTGTGGGTGAATGTGAAATGGCTGATTGAGCTCATGACAATCAAATTCAATGCTTTACTGCCAACAACTTCGACGCAATATTTTACGCAACGATTTTCCTTTTATCAATGCCAGCCCAAAGCTGATTACACGAACCAGATACCGAGGTGAAAATGAGAACGAGAGAGGAGCATAGCAGCAGCAGCAAAAAAAATAAACGCACGAAGCATACACACACACACACATACAGAACAACAACAGCACATAAAACCGAAATCCAAATAAACGTTCAAACATTGACACATAAAAATAAAATAAATGAACTTACAACCGACTCACATTTTTCGAACGATTTGAATCTCGAAGCGAAGCAGCAAAAGCTTTATTGTTTCGTTATGGTGAAAGTGAATTGCTTTTGCATCGGATAGAAACGGATATGGATCTATCGCATGAAATTTGGAAATTTGTATTCATTGTGGTGAAATGCAATTATCCCTATGCATTCAAAATTGAGCTCGGCTAAAGTGTCTGTAGGGTGGTAAGGTGGAAGGGTGGCAAGGATCTTAGTGTGAGCATACTAGAAAAAAAAATATTCCCCAAATAACGAAACCACGACACAAAGTGATACCACCGCAAAAATCAAATAAAAAGTGCTTTTGATGGCAGTGCGCGCATACACACCAGGCCGCTTCAGACATGGGGCAAATAAAAGTAAAAACCATTTTTATCCGAAGCTTGTACTAAGTAAACTTTAATGCTCTGAAAATGTTCCACTAAAGTTGAGTGTTAACTTCTCACTCTCCACCGCAAAACGATTTATTTTTATTCCGAATATTCGAAAGAGGTATATAGATATCGAAAAGCTTCTTCACTTGGTAACCTCGACTTGTGGCGAACACAAGTCAACCGAGCCAAGCCAAACCAAGTCAAGCTAAGGCGAACCGAAAAATTTCAATTGAAGTGCTTTATTATTGGATATTTTCTGTTATTAAATATTTACTTTTACTTTGCCCGTCTCGCTTTTTGTAATTTATTCCTTCAATCTGAAGATTATCCGCTATTAGGGACATTTTTGCAGACATTTAGTAGCAGTATATTTTGATATCCTTTGCTATTACGTTGATTGGTGCCTTATCGTCCATTTTTTCGCTCTTGCTCTCACTCGATCGCTCGTTCGCTCGCTTTTTTCGCCTCCTTTTTTCTTTTTGGTATTTTTTGTGTTGGTGTGTCCTTCTTTCCGTTGAGTAACTACCAAAATCGCTGAAATATGGTATTAGTTCTTAGTCATGATGGGTTTTTTTGCTTAATTATTTTGGTGCGTGTTCGTCTGTTTTCATTATGAAGATTAATTGAGGCGAGTGGTACTCTATGTGGCTATCCAATAGCTTCACAAATTATTGCAAATTGCGTGCGACAAATTTTAATTTATCAATTATGCTCGTCATCAATAGGATAGAGAAAGCGAAAGCGAAAATGCAAGTGGTGGCAGTGGCGGCGGAAAGACGGGAGTGAAAGTGAACGCGCGTAAAAATGTTCCAATGACATGAACTTGATATCGACGTGATGGCGGCGTCGACAGCGAATAAAAACAATGTCCACGACCACGCCGCTACACGTTGTAACCCAAGTACAAGATTTCAGACGACTTTAGGTCAAACGACCAATGATAGACACTGAACTTAATACTTAGGATTATTGATTTTCTTTTGTATTATGTGTGTATGTGTGTGTATGATTTTCGTTTCTTTCGTTTGGAAATTGTGACACTTTTTTTTGGGAATGTCAGCAAAATGTAGTTTCGGTTAAAAGTATCTGCTATAGAAAATCAAAGCGTTGGGCCCAGTGCATTTTCATGCTACACCTGAAACTCAAAACTTTGTACCGTTTTTTTTTCGGTTTCCACTTCGACTTCTTATCTTTTTTTTTCTTTTTTTTGGTTTCATCAACTTAGCCATACAACTGGTTGTGTGTGAATCATCTAAAAGATTTTGGGGGAGAATCTGCTTGCTTGCTTGTCTCTGGCCGTTTATCTTTCTTACACACATAAAGTTGCCTATTTGATTGAAACTCGTGAATATGTCTTTTCTTCTTCATTCTCGAATATTCTTGTGAGATTGTGTGCACGTAAATGTCAATGGTAGTTTGAGTGTTGCTTTCAATCTTGATAAAATGCTGTTCAAAATTTTTTCCCCGTCTAAGAAATTGATTAATAACGGCATAAAATCTGAATTTATTCATTTCAGCTGCTGTCAATTTCATGAAAATGTGTGTTCAATGCTGGAGAAAATCGACCAACTTCAACTAAATCGAATGGATAAGTGAACAATATTGAGACGACGAGTAAACGAACGAGATAGAGAAATCGAGGCAGCACAAGGATACAAGAGCAACAACAACAACAACATACCAACCACCATCACCACATCACACGGACTGGATATTTATTCGTTCGATTGGGTCTCTATTCGAAAGCCCGTTTTGAATGAGTTGAAGTCATTAGAAACGAATAAAACGTTTCGTTTGACGGCCGAGTTTCGTCTTTTTATTTTGGATGTGTAGCACACTTTGGTAGACTCATTTCGACGAAAAGTTGAAAGGACGCACACGCTTATTCCAAGCTTTAGAGCAAAAGAGAGAGGGACAGAAAAAAAAAAGAAAAATGAGTTTTTTCAATTCGCTTCAACAGTATGTGACGAGCGGTGTTGCTGGTTTGGGTTTGAGTCCACGACGTTTTTCGCTGTCACGTCAGGAATCAACTGAACCACAGCAACCACCACCACCGTCAACGCAAACGGAACGAAGAGAGAGCAACAATTCCCAGCATCATGGTGAGTATGAATTAAGCTTCTTAACTTTGACACATCGCGAATACATATTTCGCTTTTATTTGTTGAAATCGGTTAAAATTGAAACAGAAGTGCCGAGTGTCGCGATGCGGTGCGATACGATGGACGGAAGGGGTGACGATAACAGCAACGGCAGCATCCGCTGAATTAAAGTTTTCAATTATTTAGTTACAAAGTATCAAAATTACGAGCATTGTTTTGCTCGGCTTAATGCACACATAAAGAGAGTTGCTACTGATTGAAGTCGTCGTCGTTGTTGTTGTTGTTGTTTTTTCCCTCTTTGCCTTTGTGAGGGGGTTGGTTGAACAAAAATTATGATCGGATAATCCTATTATTTACCATGTTCACTTTGTATTCGAAGTTGAGCCGAAACTGAATTATTAATTAAAAAGCAAATGGTCGGGAGGAGAGGGAGTGAGAGAGAGAATGAGAAAGTACAAATACGTATACTCCCAGTGTATAGAACACGCATATGACAGTGCCGCCATTGATCATTTGGACCGCCATTGCCATCTCTGCCGTAACCGTCACCACTGACAAATACCATTCCATCGCCACTATCGCGCTCTCATTCGGTCGCTTCTATGTGGTAGTGTGTACATATGTGTAAAAGCTCGCGTTGAACGATATTCTTAAAACGCTTTGTTTAAGGACACTCTTGAGACTTATATACATTGCTACCGTTTATTGTCTCTTCGTACAAATTAAATATTAAACGCTGTCTACAACGGCACGAATGTGTTAATTGTTACATTACACTTGTTAAACTGTCTGCCGTAATTTCCATAATATGTTTATATTTTTGCCCCAATTAAATATGGGCGCGCGTCGCGAACTGTTGGTTTATCAGCCAACAAAATGTTTACGCTCTGTACATATACATGTATGTTCGAAATGGCGTAGATTTAGGTGATGTTTACTCTTCAAGTACTTTCAAATATAATTTACACCATGGTCATTTAATTCAATGACTCTATATATATCTGAACCATGTATCTTATCGACTGAATCAACAGCCGACAAAAAAAGAGATTCCAAATAATAGTAATTATTTTTTCTGTATTTTTCTTGTCCCATTCTCTATCCACCGTTAATATAGGCTTCCCAAAGGTAGTACCAGCACCGGGCACGATAACACCACCACAAAGCCAGGGTTCGATCCGAAGACAATCACGTGCATTGGAATGTTTGGCACCACCGCGCAAAGGATCATTTCGTACGCAACGTGTATCGCCAGTACATCAAGCGACGCCATTAGATCGACCACCATTGGCATTTTGTAAGCGACGTTTGTCATGGCCGGAAGTGGAAACTCAGTCAACATCTGGGTAAATTAATTTATTTTTGTTCTACAAGCATCCCCAGCATATTATGCTAACTTAAAAGTTAAAAGTCAAAATGTTGTATGCGCACAGCGGCAGCGGCGGCACTGTTGAATGCAAACAATTCAACAACAACAAATGCCTCGACTCGATGGAGAGGCATTAATGTAACCATTTATTGTCACATTCGCTTGACACTTTTATGCTCTTCAATTTATTGTCGACGAAAAGTCTTTACGTTTCCGAAATGTTTCGTGAAATCTATGTGTGTGTGTGTGTGTGTGTGTGTGTGTGTGTGTGTGTGTCTGCGTGTGTTCGTTCACTTGCTCAGCTGCCTGTGTGCCACTTATTCGTCCATTCGTCTGCACCGTGTCGTAACCTGGTTGAAATAGCATCGCAAAGAGCAGCTTTGGAAGCCGGGCGAAAAGACAATAGAAGCACAAACTATTTGCACTGTGCGAAAGAGAACATGTTTTGCCTGTGCGAACAATTCACACGAGTGATGGCAATTACGTATGTGTCGCACAAGGAAACAAATCAGTCAAAGAGCACATAGAAATGTGCTCAGTTCTTCAAATGAAAATAAAATGCCATACCGATAAAACGTTATTCTACAGTGAATATAAACACTGAATATAAGTTGACTTGATCAACCTGAAATAATACGATTTTAAATAAGTGGGTGCGAGACAATGAGCGAGCGTGGTGTCGAAGGCAGTCTCAACATTGTTATTACAACACATTCCGTTCGAAAAATGAGCCCGCATGGGGCGGGAGAGGTGACATGAATGGGCAAGTTGATGAGAGATCGAGGCCGAGCAAGGGAGTATATTACCCCGATGGATTCGCCTTTTCCGCTGCCGCTCTCGCTCTCTTTCTCTTTCTCTCACTCTCCCAGCCTCCAGTCCAACTGGGAGAACGAGAACGAGTCGGTTTCATTAACAACAATGAAAAAAATAAACAGAAGAATTGGAATAAAGAAAACAGAAAACGCCAACAATGAAACACCATAGCAACTTCCTTTTATTTGTGATTTTGTGCCTTTTCCTCTTCTCATTTCACCGCACAATCACACTATTTGCTTTGAAATTACATAAGCTGAACAACGAAAAGTGGCACAAAACTTTCAGTCGGAGTGGATTTAAAAAAAAAAGAAATACATTTACACATGTACACAATGACAGAGGGAGCAAAATATAAGCGAAGAAGCAAATACACGAGAAAAAACGGGAAAATTGAAGCGAAGGCAAGCTTTCTGCGAGAAAGACAGAACGGACTTACACAATAGAAATCTACGTATTTAAATGCTGTCGGAACGACATGCTCATCCTTGTGATGATAATAAATGAAACGAAGTGCCCAAGCGCAAAAAAAGACAAACGTGAAACATTGTGTCTAGATTGTTGATAATCCCCAAGACATGTTGAGAAGTACGGAATCAATAATGTGATGCCAAGCATGAAAATAGATCACAATTTACAATCAAATCGATACGTTTTGGTTAGCGTGGACTACGATTGTGTATTTGTCCATATATAGGCACTTTTTTCAGCTTCTTCCTCCTCGTGCTTCTCTTCCCAGTTGTGTGTATTTCACCTCATTATTATGCTCACTGGCAATTGTTAATTGTCTTCTTTTTTGTTCGCTATCTCATGCATGCCATCTAAAACTCAACCACACAAAAAAAAATACAACAGGGGGAGGCATGAATACAAATGGAATGGCATGAAAACATATACACAATTAAAATAATTCGGAAATTGAGTTATCTCCTTAACACCACCCATCTGTCCAACGACAGTGATTATTTTTATCGAAACTTTAACCATTAACCAAACAAGAAAATAAATTGAAGCTTTGATTGACAAAAGCACGGAACAATAACACCAGGCACGCACACACACATACACCCGAGTCATGAAGCTACAACGACAATTATTATTTACAACAATAAAACCCGGAACAACCAAGAAAAAAAACATATGAAAAACCATAATATATTATTCCATACACGAAAAGCGAAAGTGACAACATGTTTGTGTGTTTTACACTGTTTTTCCTTGGCATCTGTCACCGTTGCCGAGCAAAGTGATGAGTTTTCAAGCGACGGAAAAACGTATCGTCTGATTTACGAGAGAAACGAAGCAGAAAAAAGCACGATGATAAATTATTAAATTTTTCACTTGTACTGTTGAGAAATATATCTTCATAAAATGTGCTTCATCGATTCATAAATCATACGTTTGCTTCGAGAAATTCTGTTTTTTCTTCTGAATATTTATGAAAAGCATCGACACTCATTTCCTTTTTCACGACACATCCAAGTTCGATTCAGTTCATTTTCCCATTTTTCACGGTATGCTGACTTTGAAATTATGCTCGCATAGCAAAACTCGTATGACATTGGATACACAGAGCAGCAAAACGAATGGAAAATAAACTGAAAATCCCGCCTGTTTCGATGTGAACAATTTGAAAGTTTTTTTTTTAGTCTGTTGTTATGGGTGTGTGTGTGTGTGTGTATATGTGGTTTGATTTTAATTTAATTGTCATCGAATTGCGTGCTCGAAATTGGTTTTTCAGACAAATATGCTCGTAATTATTTTATCGCTTTTTCGCCCTAAAGTAATTGCCAAGTGCAATGGAAAGTATTATTTGGCCGCTCACTGATATTCGAAATTATTTTTCTGTTGTTGACGTTAAACAAAGTGACTCACACCACTTGGCACAGACACACACACCTTTTGGCATAAGCTTGTCATCCAAGTTTTGGGCAATATGCTTTGGGGGTAAGAACACAAGCGCTTGAGACGAATCCGTACGAATATTTGTGAATTCGTGTGATTGTGTACACGAGACATTCGCAGCGCAGTGAGTGTACAACAACAATAACAAAGCCACGAACGCATGAATATATGCGAATCTATGTGAATCTCACAACTTGTTCCTAGCCCCTAGGCAATATGTATGGCAGCCAGTGCGAATTGATCCAACAAAGTTGATGGTAAACTGTGACCACATGCTCAAAGCACTTGAAAACTCTCCCCAGAACATGAGGTGACTCTCTGACTCGATGACTTTGTCTCTGCGTGTCTCTGTCTCATTCACTCCCTCATCCTGCCGCCCCATCCACACACAAAAAAACACACACTCACTCAATCGTTCACTACGTTCAAAACCAGATAAAACATTTGTGCGGCTGAACATAAAAATGGGAATACAGATCGGTTATATCAAGAACCGAACATGAAAAATTATTTCGGAAAAATATAACAAAGAAGCAATATGCGAAAAAACGTAACATGAAAAATTATTTCGTAACGTTTAAAACGCAACATGCATTTGCGCCACACTGAAGCGCGTCATAAGAATGCTGTAGCAACCGCAGCTCATGTTACATTCATGTCGACTGGAGATTCATGTTGCGTTTTTACGAAATAATTTTTCATGTTGAGTTCTTGTTATAACAGATCTGTATTCCCATTTTTATGCTCAGCGACACATTTATAAGCGAGCAGCTTTACATCCATTATATATAAGTATATACGTACATATCGATTGTAATCAGCTTTTCCATTATTTTCAAAACAATGGAATTCTAAAATAAAGTTTTTTTTTTAAATAAAACTTTTTGAAGGCATGCATTTTCAATTATGAAATGCGCCATTCGATCATTAATTTTTGTTGATGATGTTTTTGTTTTGATTTTTTGTTGTTGATTATTTTTTCTCCCTGTTGTTTCTGTCGTTGTTGTCGAAAACAGAATTCAGGAAACAGATGGAGGATACTTCGAAGCATTCACGGCTTTAGCATGGAAACGAGATAACCGTCGCATGTCAGCGGTACGAACAGCCGAAACTCGTGCCGAAATGATACCCGAGAAGGAGCACGATGCACAAGCCAGCGAAGAATTCAACGATACACCCGACGAAAAAGAGCAATTATACATTGAAGTACTGCAAACGATTGCGAATGCCGTGGGTGCGCCAGCTCCCGGTGGCCAGGTGTGTATTGCAATCCATTGAAAAATGGTCATATTTCTGTTTTTTCTTCTATTTGTCTTGTGTAGCACATATTTTTTTCTTACCTCGAACGGATTTGCACACAACCATTCAGACACTGCCATGGAAATGAATGCAATAAGACTAAGTAGATGGGTATTAGTTGCAGTGCATTGAATTTAACGCGAGCAAATAGAATAAAAAAACATACATACACATACACATACATATTGATACACATGCACCCAAACTAAAATGGTTCAACGAAACTCGAACGACTAAGCCGCTCAAGAGTGAAAGATGGATTTTCCCGATTATTCCCATTAATTACCTCAGAAATCTGCTTTAATTGCTTTAATGCATTTCTAATGCATATTTCATTTTTGTGTGTCTTCATCGCTACAGTTTCAACACTACAAAGATGAAATGTTTTTGCAAGCGCAGCGCGCTTTCGGTGTTTCGCCTGACCGTCACTATCGATTGTTGCATGCAGCTGCCGAAGAAAAACCAAGAATCATCGTATTGAACGTGCTAGTGCAAGCAGCTGATAACTTAGAAGCGAAAGATGCAAACGGTAAGCCATTTTTTATACATTTAGTGTGATTGTTGGAGCGAATATCGCCGAATGGTCGTCGTCGTCGTTGTCATCGTTTTTTTTTGTTCTCATCTTCAATTTAGTTTTTTTGCTTTTTTGCCAAAAAAAAATCGTTGCATCGTTAAGTTATGAGAGTGGCGCTCAATCACCCCTTACATCTATGGAAGAGAAAAATATCAACGGCATCGACATAATTTTCAAAGAAAATTGCTCTAGTAATCAAGTTGCAATCACGCAACACATTTTTGTTCAAAATTCTCAATCAACTTCGGATAACATGTGACACGTAATGTGAAACCGTTGCCTTTTTTTTATTTCGTCAATGTCAATGCTAATTTTGTTGCGATAGTTCAATGAATGAATGATGAATTTACTGATGGGTTAATTTCTGGACAGATCGTTTAAAATATTTCGTCGTATGTTATCATAATTTTGCTGAATGATTGCTGCTGCTGCTGCTGTTGCTGCGGCTGTATTTGGCCTGCAAATTTCCTCCTGTCGCGTTCAATCAAATGGAGTTTAAAGCGCGCTACGTTGTGCTTATAAATAAATAGTTGATGAGCAACGAGTACGTGCATGATTTCTGCACGTTGTACATACTTTGTGTATGATGTAATGCATTGTGTGATATGAGCGATAGAGTGGGCTAGTGAACGCGGTTGGGTTTTGTTTTGCGCGCGCTCTTTTATTTCTCTTTTTTTTGTGGGTGGTCATGTGTGTCAAAGCGTGCTCTACATACTATAGACGCTTCTTTGATCATATCGATGGTTCATGACCTACATTTTTCGTGTCCTCATGCTACCATACACCACACATACACGCATGCACGCGGCCGAGAGAATGCAACCCGAGAATAAAGTAGTAATTTCACATAAAAATTTAGACCAAGCGAATGTCTCTCTACGTTGTTTCACCGTATCATTTGATTCAAGAGCTCATTAACTCATTAATATTTAAATATTATATAATTATTATAATGCTTAAATCAGACTATTTCACGACTATATCACGACCAATTGCCATTGAATGAATGAACGAAGCAGCGAACGAAAAAACGTCCGAACCGACGTAAGATTCGGTGAAAGAAAAATGACGTAAATTTAATTTTCATAAGGAGAATAGTTAAGCGAAAGAGACGAACAACTCAAGGAACTTTGAACTAACACGTATCAACTTACGACATGCGAAATAGAAATCACGGCTTGTTAACATCATTTTTCTTTTTTTTCTGGTGTGCGCTTTTTTCCTCTTGCTCTTCTTCCATTTCTCTGTTCAATTTGTATCTGTATGATAATATATGCTCTATATCTCATTCGAATGAAGTTCCTGCAACGAAAAAGAAAAAGAAGAGGAAAAATGGAAAAACGGCGACGACGACGACGAAGAAGAAGTAAAAGAAAAGGAAGAAGAGAGACGATGATGAAAAAAGCACCACCCAAAAAATTGCACTTTTCGTCTTGTATTAATTTTCTGATTTCCGAATTCATGTTTTTTTTTCTCTCTGATTTTGTGTTACATACATTATTGTGGCCAAGTTTACATTAAATTTCTTTTTCTACTCTCCCCTTTCTGTCTCTGTTTCTGTTGTTTTTTTTCTCCTCTTTTCACTGCGTGTGGTTTGATGCTCGCAGGATTCAGTGATCCGTATTGTATGCTCGGAATTCAACCGGGTGGAACGACGCCAATTTCGCCTTTGCCACCACCAATGACACCTCGAACATTGAGCGACGTAGGCTTCGACAATAATCTAGATTCGCCACATCATAGCGATAAATTACGCAAACACCATAGTTTCCGGCTGAGTTTTAAGCGAAAAGATGGACGACGCGAGCACAGAGATTCACTCAATGGTCCAGTACCTGCGAAATTTATTCGTGCTACATCCATTAAATCGCATACATTATCACCGAAATGGCATGAAAAATTCAAGTTGTACGTATTTTTCATTCACAAATGATTTCTCTTTTTTTTCTCGTTCACATTTTTGTGTTGTGTGCGTGTGTCTATTCTTTTTTCGTTCTTTTGCTCTCATATTTCGTATTCGTGTCGCCACATCCTTTATTGTCCTTTTTACCATGTGGTGTATGCCATCACTTGTACATTGTGTACAACTGAAGTACCAACTGAGAGCAAAACTTTCTCTATCTCACGCACTCTGTACATAGCTTAATGTCTCTCTCTCTCACACACACTCTCACCACGAGTTCAGCTCAGCTGCACTCTGGCTCTGTACATCTATATATGCTGCTTGCTATTTATTATCTTGATTGTGAATTTATTATTATAGTGACGTAGACGACATAAATACGGATATATTTCATATTGATATCTGGGATTGGGACGACCCAAACGAAAGCAGTGTTTTAGACGCGGTATCTCATTTAAATGAAGTACGAACGGTTCGTGGTTTAGGTAGGTATTTTAAGCAAGTGTGTCAGTCGGCTAGACAAGGAACGCAAGACGATTTTTTGGGTTGTGTCAACATTCCAATTTCGGTGAGTGGTAATTGTGAGATACTATACAATGTATATATAAATATGTGACACGACGATGTCACAGCATTGAGTGGAGATGAATTGCAACATTTTGGATAAAATATACATATGTATTTTGGGGTGTGTGTGTGTGTTTGCGTAGGAAATCCCATCAACTGGTATTGAATCGTGGTTCAAATTAGAGGCAAGAAGCCATCGAAGTGTAGTTCAAGGGAGAATTAAGCTAAAACTGTGGTTATCAACACGTGAGGATCGTGGTCATTCGGAAGAGGATGAGGGTTCATGTGATCACGATATATGGACATTGCAGCGATTACATAAGGTGATGATGTCACATGAGATTGCCACACATGAACCATCTTGGACGTGGAGCGGTGATTTACCCGGGCCAGCATTGACCATTTTACATCAAATGGCCGTTCAGAGTGATTTATCTGATTTACAGTGTACGGCCGCTCGATTCATCGCAGTGTCCAATTTAAATCGCACCACAGCCATTGATCCAAAATTCATTCATCGGCTGCTCCTCGATGTCGATCGATTCTGGAATCAACCGAACCAAAAGAAATTGTCACGCGAAGCGGAACAATGGTTGGCCGAAGCGTTTAACAATTTCATCGACAAATCGCTGAGTCAAATTAGGAAACACCGTGATATATTTCCCGCATTACATCCACCGTCGCTGATACGTTTGGAGTTTTTGCTAAAATGCCTGGGCATATTTAGCAAATTCCAAGCATACAAACAAGTATGTCCGTTTAGCAAGGGCATACGTGGTGAGGTAGTTGGTGCTCTGCGCAAAGGATCCATTCAATGGGCACAATTTTTTCTACGCGAATCACAACGACTTTACAGCTCGTTGATTTACTTCGTAACCACAATAATCGCAAACATTCAGCTAGGCTTAATCTACTATCATTCATTGTTTGATACGTAAGTATTTTTCCCCTTTGTTGAGTTTCCGTACTTTTATTATCGGTCGTTAATTTTTGGCCGCAAGTATTTTCATGCATCACATATCAAAATGTTATTCTCTTCCCTTATCTCCCCCTCCGCTCTCTCTCCTCATTCGTTTGCATACCATACACGCATGCACAGGACAATCGGTGTTCAATACTTTAGCATTGTGTATAAGCAATTCGATGTCATCATAGCCGAAGAGGTGTCGTCACGTATGGAAACCGGTCAAGTGCTCGGTCCATCATTGAGTCAGTGCACAGTGCTTGAAGGCGATAAAGAGCCAGCCGATACACGGCCCTTCGAACTGTACTTAGTGTTGCAAGAATTTGAATCGTTAAAAAATCATCTTACAATATTGCCGCAACCACCGGAAAAACCATTGGCACTTCAAAATTACCACGATTGGTTTGTACTCGCGGTGCAACGATGGATTATGGTTGGCAAAGCGAAAGCTTTGAATCGTGTACGAGCGGCGATTTCATTAGATAAAATATCGGAAGGTGATCGAATTGTGCGTCACACTACGTCATCGGTGGATGTGGCCGATATTCTGTATCAGATGCGTGAATTTTGGAAGCTACTCAATTGGCCGGATCTTAATTCGGCTCAAGCGTTTGAATCTCAACTGACTGATGCCGTGTGCTCGTGTGTCATTCACTATGCGGATTTGATTCATCAGCAACTCGCCGATACGGGCTACTATGAGCATCAAGGGCCGTTCCGCACGTCAGACGATATGTGCGTTACGGTCAACAATCTGGAACATGTGCGACGCGCTTTGGCCGAATATCAAACGGACAAATCAGAAGTATCGAATCAACCGGACCAATCGGATATTTTACTTGATTCAACGTTAACTCAATTAGAGAATCGTGTTGACCGTGTTCTTAGCAAATTGGCACCATCGATGCAAGTTCCACTACAAAAGGCTGTTTTCCACTTGGCCTGGTCACCCGAATCGTTGCCCACGAATCAGGCAATCGTTCCGTTGCTCGAATACTTGGACGTACACTTATCGGCACTGAATTCAGCATTACTCATGAAAAATTTCAACCGTGCACTCACACTGATTTGGAACACCGTTCTCAATGAATTGTCACGGCAAATGGATACGGGCGGTGAAGGTGAAAAAACCAAAAACTTTCACGATCGATTGTATGAAGCGTTGCAGTTGCTCGTTGACTTTTTCAATGCCGAAGGATTGGGTTTGCCGCTCGAAGCATTGCACAATGATGCTTATTGGAGAGTCGATCAGCGTCTACAATACCACAAGAAAGACACGGAAAAACTAATTGACCTCTTTTATTTGCAACGTCTACAAGAGCAAATGATGGTCACATCGCCGGGTCCGTATGGCGTTTTAGCGGTTCGTGCATACTTCAATCATGATTCATTGTGTGTCGAAGTGTTACATGCTCGAGATATCATTCCATTGGATCCAAATGGATTCAGTGATCCATTTGTGATTGTTGAACTGCTGCCCCGCCGCATATTCCAATATTGCGGCGAACAACAGACCAATGTGCACAAGGTAAGAACGACATTCATTTTCAAGTTATTTGTACGTGGTGCACCATATTTTCAAGTGTCTAAAACTAAACTATAATTTCTCTGCTATAATTGACAGAAAACGCTGAACCCAATTTTCGATGAATGTTTCGAGTTTTCGGTAACACTTGAACAGTGCTTAGCTGAGGGTGCAATGATCGCATTCACCGTTATGGATCACGATGTTTTGACTGCAAACGATTTTGCCGGAGAAGCATTCTTAGCATTAGGGAATATCCCCGGTGTGGCCGACTACAGTACGAGCATTGATAACTTTCATGGACTAAAGCAAGTGGATTTGCCGTTGATGCAACAAAATGATAAAAGTATGTTTTAAGCTGTTTGTTTGAAACGTTTGCATTCAGTTCGAATACTAATGACCAAATGGTTTTTATCTATATATCAGATCATCCAATTCTCCAAATTTTGGAGTCTCGCACCAGTGACAAGCAAGCAGTGGACTTTGTGCGTAAGCAAAAAGCTCGTCTCGCATCTTAATTTCATTCATCGCACACACACAGCATTTGATGACCTTTTATCAACCATCCAACCGCAATTCGCCAAGCAAAAGCAAAAGCAAAACCAGAACAAATGAGAAGAAAAATGGACGCAAGCACACACTTGAATGAAATTCCCTCAGAAAATTAGTAGATGCAAACTTTTGTAAGTCAACGTTTCATTAATGCACTCTAGGTTTTATTGAAATTCTATCGAATCACAATTAAATAACACTTGCTTCGGCTAATTCACACACACACAAATACATAAACGTACACAAAGTCTGTCATTCGCCCAAAACAAAAGAATAATCAAATTTATACAATTGAAATAGTGAAATGGAAAATGGTATGAAAATTAATAATGATTATGAACGATCTCACTAGATGAGCAATTATTTTAATTTATTTCGCTCGAATCGCGCGCATCCAGTAAAAGAGACAGAGAAAATAATAATTAATGGGAAGTCTAGAAGAAGAAAAAAATTAGTGTATCATTATCGCTTGAACCTATCACAGCGGCATACAGAATATTATAGAATTGCGTACACGCAGTCCGTCAATTGACTCAAAGATGAAACAAATGAGAGCGCTCAACAGTTACGCAATAGCAACGATAGAAGAGAAACGAAAATGAAAATATAGAAGAGTCGACATTTGAATCGAATGATTTGATTGTAGAAATGTTGGCTATTTGAAACCAATGCATCTTCCCGGCCGTTCGTACGACAGAACACGACAGCGAAATGAATTACGTGCAAGCATATTGCTTGGGATAAGAGTTCGAAGATGCTTGACGACAAAGCACTTGAAGTAATTGTGTTATTTTCATGGTCGACAACAGCAATCGATCAACGCTCATCTTGCATATATAATTACTCGATTCCCATTTAGTTTGAGACCAATTTTGATTTTGCGTTCTCCTCTTCAACTAGCAACTACTTGGCTCTCGTCATCGTCGTTGACGTCGTCGTCCGTTCAAAATGAGCATTTGCCTCGTTCATGGCACAAGTTGGGAACAGTGATTCGAAAAATGAAATGCAAACAGACATACACAGTACACACACACACACACAGCGTAAAATTGATGAAACAATGTGTTGTTTGCAATTCGTGTGGAAATGGAATATGGAAATTTGAAAAAGAAGAGAGAGAGAGAGAGGAGATGCTGATATTACACACAAATAACGAATCATATACTTTTTACAAGGAACAAACAAACAAAAATTATCCCACAAATGGCACATGCTCTCCCGAATTTCAAATATCTCACTTTTGAATGACTATACAATCTATTCATATAGACGAGAACTTGAGAAATAGGACAAATTAATTTACTTTCTATGCTGTATATATACATGTTGATTTTATGTACAATCATTTTATTTTTGGAAATGTATAACATTATCAATATCAAATATCCATATTATGTATCACACACACACAGACCCCCCCCCCCTCCCGAAGAAAAAGTCTTCAACATAAGTTTTGTGTGTGTATAATAAAATTTTGGAGACAAATTATTATTATTATTCAAAGCAAATCAACTGATACAATCCAAAAGAGGACACGCTCAATAGAATTGCTGTGCCACATTTAACTCTTAAGAATGTCCATCATTTCTCATTCTACGTTTTATAATGCAATTTTTTTTTGAACAAACTGACCCACCTACACACGCGCGCTGTAGAAAAATACAAAACAACAACCTGAAAATGAATCGACCACTTTTTTCCCTTTCGATATTTTTCCACTCTACCGTTTGGAGTTTATGAATTTTTCGCGACAAAAAAAAATTGCTTGAGTCAAGTGCACCCGAACGAAAAGACATTTCAATTAATTTATTCAATTCAGGCACTTGAATCATTCTTAGCTCTGTGCGAAAACCCACCAAATCGACCTGACCTACACAATACAAAAATTAATCCCAAAAATATCGTTTGAGCGGCGATAGAAGGCGACATTTTGCATAGGTTCGGGAATAATTGAGGCTGTGAGAATGAAAATGGCAATACAGGAATAAACATTCTGAAGCGCATCAAGAAAAAAAAATTCGCAAAAGTGAATCATGAGTTCTGAATACGCAAAAGTGAACCATGAATCTTCTATGCTGCCCGTGTAAATTCATGTTTCACTTTTGCATATTCAGAACTCATGATTCATTTTTGCGATTTTTTTTTCTTGATTCATTTCAGAATGTTTATTCTTGTATTGCCATTTTCATTCTCACAGCCTCAATTGTTTTTGCTGTGTAGGCAGACTTGATTTTTTTTTCTCGTGTATCCATTTGATCTTGCTAAACGTTTCTTTTTTCTCTATTATTGACTAACGAGCTTAAAACCTGTAACCGTTCCATAACTATCTCAAGACATGAAAATTGGTACCAAAACTTGATGGACGCAAAAAAACCAAAACACAACAACAACAACAAAAAAATACGATCAAAAAATTCCTTCAAACTTCCAATGACGGAAAACAAACTATCTTTTTTCTACTGTTTTATCGATGTTTTAACTAAAGTTAAATGAATTAAAAAGGAACAAGAGAATCATATTTTTAAACTTATTTAAATTACACACAGAAATGACTGATTCAAAAATTAAATTCACACTGACAATTTGTGCAAAGACTAATTTTATCCCAACGTTTTCTATTAAGAGAGATTAAGGATAGGAGTGCAGCGTAGAGATAGAGACAGGGAGAGAGAGTGAGAGAGAACGGAATTGATTTCTATTTATTGCGCATATGAGCGACAGGAGATTGAAATGATTATGTGTCATAAATAAAATGTGTCAAAACCATATATACATATAAATATATCTATTCAAATCAACAATTATAGTGTATAGAGTGAACGTGTAAAATTGTTGTTGACAACTGGCTTTCGGTGTTTAATTTGAAGCTCCCTCAGCTTAAAGTCATAAATCTCCCCCCACAAAAAGCCTTGTCCATTTCTATCTCAACACCTAATTCGGAAAATGGCCCATCTGCAATTACACACACACACACACAAACACACACACACATCTATTTTCTTCCTATACACACATACGAGAAAATTTACGTACGATTTGTATCACAAACACACAAAAATACACACAAACATATATATTTTTTATACAAAACAAACTAAAACCAATCAAAGATGCAACAATTCTGACTTGATCTAAATGAAATGAACAACAACAACATCAACAAATGAAAAAAACAAAAACATTACCAAAGACATAATTTTTGGACGGATTTTTTTGCTAAACTAAAAACCTCACACACACAAAAACAAATGAAACAACAACATTTAAGTGACAATTTAAATATTTATACTAAATTTTATACGTTTTAAAACGCAATGCATTTTTTCACATTCTTTTTACAAATTATCATGCAAGACTTTCGTAACAGTGTAAAGGAACAACAAGAAGAAAAAAACCCAATAACTTCACATATTTCGATTCAATCAAAAATGAAAGCATTAAACCTTAATCAAAAAACCAAACTTTTGGAACAAGAAGAGTATTTGCTCTTGAATACCACCTATATATATCCCACCATTTGCCGAATCTCCCTCCCACTACCACCCCAACGCAACCCACTCACATTTTCATGGCCTAATGTAACTATGAGTTAAATACGTTTTTAGATGGAACATTTTCGATTTCTGGAAAATGTTGACGCATACTCGCATGCGGTTTTATCAAAACACACGAACGGGAAACACACTGTTCTACGTTTTGTAGGTACTATTAGAAAATCTAAATGCTAATATTCTCGCAGATGCCTTTGAAAACTTTTTATTTCACTGTCTGAAACTTCAACTCCCATGAAAACATGCTACAATCTGTACTAACCAAACTAACAAATCCAATATCCAAGAGAACTTTTCCGATACAATTTTCGACACCTCATGAAAACCAATCTCATACAGATGACTTTCTGCTCACAACGTCCTAACAACTTTTGCTAATTACCCCATACGGCAAAGAAAAAACAAAATACATATATTTATGCAGTGATTATATATATAGATATCCGTTTGAAGAATCAAAATTTCAACACAACAACCACATGAAGAGAATAAAAAAAAACGTCATATTTAAATTTTAATCAATTTCTGATTATTATAAAGAATTAAAGAGAAACAAGAAAAACCTTAATCAATCTCATGATACAAATGATGGAAGCACTTATCATTAGACAAATTAAACGTTGGTTGTAATGAAAATATCTCAGTCACATCAAAAGAAAAAGAAGAAGAAAAAAAAACTATTTGCATTTACAATGTGACGTCCAAACAAATGGAAAAAACCAAATCATATTGTGTATTTATCTAGGAATTAAGAACACTTGGGCAACAATTTGTGGAAACCTAAACCAAAAAAAAAAAAAAAATATATGCGTTTACAGCAAAAACCAAAATTGAACATTAATTAAACACATATGTAATTAGGAATTTAAGCAAAGCCTCTCCTCCTTAGAAACAAGATACAAAGAATAAAAATAAAATAATGATAATGTTCAAAGCTACAACAACAAAACACACAAACACAACAACAACAAAAATTGAATAAATATGTATTGATATATTGATATGTCATCCTCGTTGCGCTATGCGTCGTCATCGTCGTCTGTATACTACAACAATATATATGTGTATATATCTTAATTAATAAATTGCTTATTGCTTGCATGATGTATTTTTTTCTTTTATATTTCTGAAGCAAACGAAAAAACAAGTTATAATTTATACAAGCAAACAAATAACACAGAATAGTAAAAAAAACTCACACACAGAGACACATACAAAAACGTGAGGGAATGTACCAAACGAAGGAGCGCGCATACAAAGCATTTCCAAGTACAAACACTTCCATTTACTCTGAATGAATTATTTGTATATAAAAAAAAAACTAAACAACAAAACACACAACAAAAGAGAATTTATTTGTAGGAATGGCGAAATCGTGTCACGCGTTAACTATAATAACAATATACATTTAATTTAAAAGAAGAAGAAGAAAAAACACAAATCTATTGGAAAGATGACATATAGATATATACATGAATATACACTAGGGTGTTCAGCTAATCTGAAAAAGAAGAATGAATAGCATAAATTTAAAGAGAAGCCAATTTTATGTCAACTGGTAGCATTAATAGAGCGTTATACAACACTTCCAGAAGAAAAAAAAACTCTTTGCAAAATCGAATAATGCTTACCTAAACGACCCACTAGAGTACTCCTGCGCAGTTAACATCAACCAGATGGGGAGTCAACTTGCTTCAACGCAACTATCCCACATGATCGGGATAGCCTTTAATAACTAATGTTACATTTGTTTTTTTTTTTGTTTGCAATGTGCTGATTAGACAGCATGATCAGCTGGCTGCTGGTCGTACTCGAACATTTCTACATCATTATCCACGATGGCGGCAGCAGCAGCGGCTGCTTCAGCGGTTGCTCTAGCGGCAGCAGCAGCGGCAACAGCAGCGGCTGCTTCAGCAGCTTCGCGCCAATACCTATTGATCGCCTCTGGTATCGGAAGTCCCAGTAATGTCCATAGTCCTGAACAATTAAACAAATGAAACTTCTTAAAAAATCATTCAATCGAAATTGTGCGTCAATTAGCCTTACCTTTCAGTAGAATGTTCTTAGCAGCCACGACGTCACGATGCCAAATCACAGAGCATTCGAGGTTTAATCGCCAGTTTTTGTAGTAACATTTTACTTTTGGGAATAAACGCTCGTCTCCTACCAATGCTTCTTCGTTCATGGCGCGTTGCAACTGTCGGTAGATCGATAGATCCGTTTTGCCCAACTTTGACACAATTTTCGTTGGCAGCAATGTTCTGGCGTCGGGTACGCATCGGCATTTCTTGAATCTGGCCGCTTTGTTCTGGTTTTGGAATCGATTCATACATCTTGCGTCGGTTTGAGATGTTCCCCATTCGTCCACCAATTGTATGAAACAATCTCGGCGCTTCTTTATTGACCTCAAAGTCTTACGCACCCCTGGGCAGCGCACGTGCTTCTTGATACTTATTGGGCTATCAGGTGGTATTTCGCCATCAGCACCAAAAAAGAACAGAGTCGGTTTCTTATCGGTCACCTTATTCACCCATTCGTCGACAACACTACTGCTCTTGATGTGTTTGTCCAAGGCGAGTCGAGTGTATTTGGCAGTCGAGTAAGCGCAGATTCCATGCTTCATCATCTTGACTCGATGTTTGATGTAGTTCAGCCACATTGACCCTTTTGGCGACGGCATCACTGGATACAGATCACGATTTTCTCTGTCTGCGCGCTCCATTTCGACGAAATTTTTGGTCCATCGCGCTGCTTTGGCATTTCGCACCTTTTGACCTGTTTGCCAGTGGAATTGCTTGCTCGACATTACAAAGTTGGTCTGAAAAAATAAATAGAAAAAAAGGTATAGTTATTGAGTTTTGGCACTTGAGCATTTTCTATTAAAATACACACAACTTATTCGAATGTATACAAAACTTACTTCTTTGCCAGTTTCAATGTCGTGTGTTGTTGTGGTATTCCAACTTCGCACACCTGAATCAACGCCCGAATAATTTTTGATTGTGCCATCCTCAATCTTCTGAATGATGCGAGATTTTTGGTCGATTTCTTTGTTGTCTGTCTTCTTTTTGGCCGAGTACTGGAGAGACACAGAGATTCCATCGGTGTTTATGGAAAAGTCAAACTGCTTTTTGGCACGTACGAATCGTCGAATTTTTCGCATGTAAAAATACTGATTCCACCAATAATCTCTCGAATGATTGAAATCCTTTTGTTGAATCGTTTTCGTGCTTGTTGTTCCTTTTTTATTCTCGATTTCCACTTTCGGTAGCAATTTTTGCGAAGACAACACCTGGTGCATGGATGAACAATCGATTCTGAAGTGCGTACGCCGGAAATCACACATCGGCACCACTACTAAATTTCGGATGAATGGCCGAAAATCTGGGTTGTCGAGCATTTGGCTGCGCTTGCGTTTCCATTTTCCTTTTGTCTTTTTTCGCTTTCTTTTCTTATGTTTGGGTCGGCGCTGATGTGGCCACTCCGAATTGTACTCTTCTATCTCGCGCTGCATAGATAGGTACATTGGCATGGCCTTATACCAATGTTTTGGGTCAGTTGTAAGGTCATGCAGATCGATTTCTGGGAACACATTGCAATCTCTCACGATATCATACAACACCTCACACCGTACAAGTTTGTTTGGATCGCGACTTGGCACTTTGATATCTTTTTGCTTGATGATCAACTTGACAACATTTTCGATGTCACTTGGCAAAAATTTCTCTCCATCCTCTTCCAAGTTTGAGTTCAATTCAAACACTTTCAGTACCAAGTACTGGGTGATGTGTTTGTTAGCATGCGTTTCAAGATTGGTGACCACGTTATCTGTGTACTGATTGCTCAAATGCTTAAGGCCATTGCAGAAATCTTTGTTGTTGGGCCAATCGATACGATGATAGTCGTCAAGACCTTCGACAATTGCCTTGAATTCAGGATCGATACGTGGCAGCTCTGCTCGTGGTCCTCGTGGCTTTGTTCCGCTTGGTTTATACCTTGACTTCGGTTTTGGTGGCTGATTGTTGTGCCATAGCACTTGTTCAAAGCAGAGTTTGATCTTATCTTCTCCACTTCCACCAAACAATGCGAAATTATTGTTCTCGACGCCTATATTCGAATGCCTTTTGCACCTCAAACAAGAACAGCAATGAGCCCAAAACACAAATGGAAGTGGCTTGCAAACTCAGATCCGTTATTTTGCTCATCAATGCTTGCTGGTATTGTGGGCGAATGATTGTCTTTAGCGCACATTTGATCGTCGTAATTTCATCTTTCGTCTCTCCCTCCGCTGGTATTGATGGCTTGAAACGATTCGCCATTGTCCTACTGAAAGAAAAAAAACACACATTCGATTTAGTTTGAAAACGAATAATATTGAAACTTAAATTCGATTTAGTTTGAAAATGACAACAGAATGAGACACACAAAAATGACTTCGGTTTGATAACAATGGCATTGATTCAATTTGAGTTCGAACAGTAATCGATTAACTGTTTCTCTTCTCCGAACAATGGACTCAATTCATTGCATAAAATGAATTTCACCATCACACGTATTTCACCATCACATGTAACAGAACTATGTACTGCAGAATTATTGTGAAATTCATTACTTTTGTACATGGAATCTAATATTACTGTTGATATGTTCAATATATTTCACGTTATAAATGCTTATAAAACGTTTTTAAAATGAATTCCACAATAAGAAGAAGAGATTGAAATGATCAAGTTTACTTACACTTTGGCGACTTGAATTCAATGTGAACTCCGGATCAAATCGATACAAAACGCACGTAAATCGAAAATAAAACGAAATGAAATACCAGCAAAATCGTAGATAAATTAAATTGCAATGTAAATTTCCAGTTTAAATTGTAAGATAAAATGTAAGAGTTTCAATTTGTTGACTTCGTGTTCACAACGCTGTATGTTTTCTCGGAATGAATGATGCGGCGTCTGTGACATTTCGAAAACTGCTGAAGTGAATGTCAAATGCCATACGGATCGGTTCACATTGCTAATTTTTAGAACATTAGACAATTTGAGCTACAAAGAGTCAATTAGTACTAACACATAAAAACGGTTATATTTCGGTGAAATTCCAAATTTATTAGCAATGAAGGACGATTTATTGTTTGATTCCGATTTTTTGGGCCGAAATCTGCGTAGAAATCATATATTCTTATTTGACTCCCCAAACCTGAACACCCTAATATACACACACACTTACCTAAATGAAAAATTAATGAAAATTATCTTTTACACCTATATCATTTGTCACGATATGTGTTCCAAACTTCCGAAAATAAACATACGTTCTCAATTTTCCGTTCAATTTAATCAAAGTCATATTAATCGCGATTCAACGCAGAAGGTCGCACGAAGTTGAGCAGTGAGCGGCGGAGAGAGAGAGAAAGAGGAAAAACAAGAAGTTTTCTTTCTCTCTCTGAAAAAGCATTTGGCTTTCTTTTTTCTCTGCTCGTTCGTTGCTTTCCGCTCTAAACTTCTGTGTGTGTATCTAGGAATTATTCCCGTTTATTTTTCCACCCGATTGATAATTTATATTTTAGATGAAGCCAAGTTTTTGTTATTAATACATACAAAGCAAACACGAAGAATATATAGAGAAAAAAAAACACGAAAGATTTACCTATATTGTTTTATATGTATACACACAACCATCAATGTTCAGTTTGAACAGTTTATTTGGTTTGGATTTACAAGTAAATACGTAATTTTATTTACCAAACAAAATCAAGTCGATTTAAGCGCATTGAATTGCTAAGATTATCATTTAGATTTATCATTGATTGAATAAAAATCATTGCACGAACAACCAAACAAAATACAAATGTGTTGTTGATTCCTAATACACACAACTCTTTTTGTTCCCTTTCTTTCACTGCGAAATTGTATTTTTGGCTTTAAACACAAAATGAAAAGAAGAAAAAAAAAATAACTCTACCATTTGGAATCTATGATGATACTTTACTAGATAAATCGATGCAAAACAAAAACTGATAAAATTTAACAAGACACACACTAAACAAAATCATCATCCTGTACTTTGCGGGCTTATTTAAGAAATCTAAAATGGATATTATTGTAATGAATATGGAACACACCCGAAATAAAAAAAAATACGATTAAAAGAAATAAATATCTTAAGCAAAACAAAAAAAACAAAAACGTTTTAGAAATTATTTCATTTATTTTCATAGTTGAATTGCAGTATAAAGGCAAGAAATCGTCAAGAAGTTTTTTTGGGGGAGGTATTTTGTGGTTTGATTCAGCCGATTCGGATTATCCTTTAATGTTGAGGCTAAGTGGTGATGGTCCCTTGCTTTGATGCTGCTGAGCCTGGGCCGCCTGCAATTGTTGCATGTACATTTGAGTGTAGTAACAATCATTTGGACATTGTCCTGGCGCTCCTGACGATCCGGGGATTCCATTTCTACCGTCTTCACCGCGGTCACCTTGTGGAATTGAAACGAAAATGTGCGCAAAATGTACATTGAAAAATGAAGAGCAAATCGATTGAAAGAAAAAAAAATTTAATTCCAAAATTCAACCTGGTCGTCCTGGTGGTCCTGTAAGTGGAAATCACCCCATTAGTATTTTTTTTTTAACTAAAAAAAATAAGTGTCGAATTTCATACCTGCCACGCCTTCAATGCCAGGCAAACCCTGAAGGAAAGTTTCAACACAAAATTAACGATTAGATTCGGTTTTCGATTCATTCCTTTCGAAAATGGTTCATCAAAGTTGGGAATAAAGAAAAAAAAGAAGAACGAAACGACGAATATGCCGCCAGAGGCTTTGTTATCGCAACAGCGAGCATGGAAAATTGTTATTGAAACAGCTTACTTGAATTCCCGGCGTGCCCGGTCTTCCATCCTCGCCTCTGTCACCGCGGTCGCCTGTGTATCGAGACATTGAGTGCATACACATACAAGCGTAAGAAATTGTCACAACAATCTTATTGTTCATCTCAAAATAATGAGCTTTTCAACGGAAAGAATAACAAACCTTTTTCACCCTGTCAAAATAGAAAGTTGAATTTTATTTGAATACATTATGGTTTTCAAAGCGAGTTTAAATAACAGTCAAATCGATTTTTTTTCTTTGCTTGCGCGTCGTTTTAAATCTAATTGAAACATTTGTCTTTTCGACTGTCTTACCTGCAATCCCTGGAAACCGTCATCACCACGATCACCTGCACACAAATACAAACGCACATAAACAAAATGAAATGATTTTCAGATGAAAGGCTTTGCATTGAATGTGTGCAAATTTGATTGCCATACAGAAATGCTTTCTTTTTTTTTCTTTTTTCGCACTCGATTCTTCAAGCTTTGTTCTTCGCAGTTCGATTTGCCAGTTTTGGCCTACATAATGAAATTGCTTTGAATCAATTTACCTTTAGGTCCTGGTCTACCTCTTCCTGGTTTTCCAGGCGGTCCTGCAAACGGAATCGTTGCGTCGGAAGTTATGAAATTGCTTTTTTTCAACAATTATTTCTATTCATTAAATACCTGGTGGTCCGATCGGTCCGATCAATTGAGGCTTCAATGCAGCAAGTTGTTCTAAATGGACGAGAAGAAGACAAAAAAACCAATTGCGTATTAACTGTGAACATAAAAAAGTGGTGCGCTGCTGATGTATTTTTCAATTTAACCTTTCAATACATTTCCACAGATTTCACGGATTTCCAGCTCTCCGAATTGATGTTCGCCACCCTCGGTACGGGTTATTATTAGCCCTGGTTCGCCTCTTTCACCTTTTTCACCGATAATTGACTCTCCCTACCAGTCCAATATACAATACAATGAACGAATAAGTAATTACAATTTCATTGCGTTCAATGCAAATGGAAATTTTAATCCGATTGCCAATGGATTTTTGGCACTCTTTGTATGCTTATAATAATGCAATAGTTGTTATTACCGGAAATCCTCTTTCGCCACGTTCGCCCTTTTCACCGATAATACTGCGACCATCGATACCCTGAAAAAATCACACGAAAAAATTGGATGCGACAAAATATTGATATTTGATATTGAACAGGGGAGGAAAAAACGATTTCAATTTAAAAAGTCACACAGTACATCTCTTCCGGGTGGCCCTTGTGGACATTGAATTGGACATTCTTGTTGCACAATTGGCGATATTGTTGGTTCCGGATAAATTGGTAGAACAATCGGTGAATCTGGTTTGACTGACTCTTGATATTGCTGCGGAGCGAAAGATATAAATTTCAATTAAAAAAATTTGCTTACGCAACACAACAACTCATGCTTGCTCACCGGTAATTCTTCACAAGTTGGCACAGGTGGACGTGTAGATTCGCATCCAAGTACCATCCATTGCAAATCAATTTGGGCCGTATTCTAAAGTATTAGGAATAAATTAAACTCGTATCTTCAAACGTCACCCCATATTAAAACTGGTGAGAGAGCTGTAAATTTTACCAAATACTGATTTGTTTCATCGATATATCGTGCAATGTAAGCATTCCCATTGGTGACATCGAATTTTGGACGTGGCAACAATGGTTCTTCAATTTGGCCCCGAACACCGAACATTTCCTCACAATCGATCCAAAGACGGACTTTATCCTTTAAAACGCTGACCAAAATTTTGTGCCAATTCGTATCAAACAGCGTTGACGATTGGAAGAATACACGCTGTACATTTCCATTGCTGGCTGGTAGGCCAATGCCGATTAAATGCTCAACTGTGTCCAATGTTATGCTAATTTGTGTAACACCCTGAGAATCGGTCACATGAAACAGATAAAATGGTTGAAGTGGCTGCACCAGCGCACGGAACGTTGACTCAAACCAAAAATGATACGGAATGCCATTGGGAAAGGCTTGGTATGCGTAATCGGTTACATTCGATTCTTGATGCAAACGGTATGCACGTTGAGATGAAATCGAACCAACGACCTCCTCATATTTCTCCGCCGATTCGCTTAAATGAAACTTATGAATCAAATCGATCGTCGGCAAAACACCATTGTCACGATTAAATTTACATTTCGGACATTGTGCATTGACATTGCTCACGACAAACAATACACCAATCACCAACAATCTACTTGAAGAAAAAATGAAAATCAGACAATTGTTTCCATTTACAAATCGCACAAATTTATTTGAAAACATTTTTCAAAGAAATTCACCTAAGTAACATTTTGCTCGAAAATTATTCGTTCAACTCACAAAAAACTAGAAGAAAAAATAATTCTTTTCCACTTCCAATTGCACCAAAGAATATATAAAGACTGTGAGCAGAAACATAAATTGCCCTAGTTTTAACATTCGGCCCAAAGACGTTTTAATTTCGAGTTTCCAAATCATAATCAATTGACCGAGCAAACGATGTTTTAGAACATTTTAATTAATCAACATTGGTTGTATGGCCGAAAAAAAATTTAACCCATTGCACCATTGTGTTCAAACTCATTAAAATCACCAATTGAGAATTTATTTCAATATGTGTGTTCCGAAGTAAATTTGGTCTTCAGTTCGGTTTGGCAATCAGACGACAACAAAAAAAGCAATAAAAATAATTTCTTCGCTCAAAATAAATCAAATTTATGGGTTTTGCGACGCTGAATCGCGAACATGGAAACAAAATGTAAAGTCAAAACGAAAAAGAATGTGAAATTGAAATAGGTACTTATTAAAAACGGGTGATATCAATTTTTCGCTCTTCAATTTCATCATAAGTCGTTTTTTATAGTTCACTGTCATTAATTGACCGAAATTAGTTGGAACCGAAGTATGGCAGTCATATGTTGTTCCATTTCTCAAAGTCAAAGATACAAACAAACAGTCAAATGAAAAAAACAAATGGGACATTTATAACAAAAAAATTGATTCGGCGAAAATGATTTCCATTCCGATGAACACAGTCGAATCCCATATATTTAGCCCATAGCAAACAATGTGCGGAAAAAATAAAGGAAAAAATCTTCAAAAAATGCCTTATATCAAATACAAAAACCTAATGTTTGAATTTTCGCGCTCTGTATGTGAAACTACGCATTTGTCATGTGACATGCGAAGCGCGCGCCTCCACACATGATTTGCGACGTATGAAATTGTCGAAAAACAATATGGCCGCCCTGTTTTCAATTTCAAGATCAGACCAGATATTTTTTATGCACTTCATCGTCTGTTTATGTTTTCATTTTTGATTTCGCAATTTAACATTTTTTTTCTGTTTCAATCTGGCACATCGATTTCAGCGTGTGAAATAGTGTGTTGGCGCATTACAACGGTTGCTGATTACAATTGAGTGGGCCAAACGAAAAGAAATAGAAGTAAAAAGGCACAGGGAGCGAGAGAAAAAAGGAAAATTGAGAGCGAGAGAGAATAAAGCGTATACGAAATAGTCAAAGCATGTTAAAAACAAAATAAATTTTGTTGAATCAGGTTAGTGAAAATTTTCTTTGTTATTATTGTGTCGCGTGAATTGACGTCACAAACACAAATAGTCGCCTTTTGTCCTCCCCTAGTCACTTTTAACAGTATCCATGACAACTATTCCCTTTCTTTGCGAGTTCCATGTGAATTTCTATTTCATCACGATTAAACTTTGTATTATTTAAATAATGAACGAGTGTGTCTGTGTGTTTATTTGTTTTGTAATAGAAGAATAATTCGCTGAATTCAATCAACGAACAATCGAGAAATCAAAAGTTGTCAGTGTCGAAATGTCGTCTGATGTAGATGATGACCAAGTTCTTCCGGATTCATTGCAAAAGCTGGAAATTGTTCCCGTTTACTCACATTCACAGTCGGCCTGCAAATCGAACAACGAACGCAATCAAAATCCATTCTTTTCGGTATTATCGACAGCGAACGGGATCGATGATCGGGTAAGAAATTGGCGAGACCTCCAACGTTATAAATAAAACGAAAACAAAAATAACAACAACAAAACCAATAGACCTAGTCGAATCTTTTTATTTATATATTTCTTTTTTTTTTCGTCTCTCGATATTCATACAGATAATCAAAGACCTGTTTGGGCCAACGTGTAGCAATTGCGAAAGCAGCGATAACTCGTCGTGTGACATGGACAGTGTGAATTCGAGTAGCGGTAGTAAGGATGTGTCAAACAAAAGTTGGCGACATCGTGGTAGTAGTGTAAGTCAGTGTATCGAACACAGCATTAACAAGCAGATTCATTTCAAACATCGTGATAAGGAGAAATCTCAAGTGTTGTCCGACAAGAAGCTAACAATACTGCGTGAACCGATTCTAAAATCCATTGGCCGTTCGGCGTATCACAATGGCAACCAGAGTAAATCGTGTTGTGAACCGAAATCGAGTATTGAGCACAGCGGCAACAGTGCAAAGAACAGCGATCTGAGCAATTCAACGAATCCAACAGTTTGGTTTGCACTGAAATCACAGTGCGGTAATGGTGGTGGTGGTGATGATGATGATCAAGGTGCAAATGGACAGCTCAAAGCAAATTGTACGATTACCAAAAGTGGAGCCGCCGAATTGAGCACAACTAAAGTGGTAGGTGAATGTCAGCATGTGGTGCCAGGCACTTCAGTGGACGCAAATAATGTGATGATTCATAGAATACAAAATTGGCAATTGAACGATGATTCAACCGTTGATTTTAAGTCATTGGTCAATGAATGCGATAATCTAACGTTGTCCACACGGGATGGAAGCATCAGTTCAATTACGGAACTGCATAAAACGAAAAACTTTCAAGTACTGCAATCAAATCAAATGGGCGGAAATATTGGTGTCGGCACCGCATCATCGACTGGTGCAACCGACACAAATTCGCCGAACAATAGCATTCATGCAACGATGGCGACAGCGACGACGGCGACAGTACTTGCTGGCACTGGAACCAGCAGCAATGCGATGAATAGCAGCCTGAGCAGCAACAGCAGCAATTCATCGTCGTGTTCGCAACAGGCACGCATGAACTCAAGTAACTGTGATGTCACAATCGACGAATTGGCGAGCTACATCGAATTTCAATTGCATCTCCCCAAGCCCATGTCCTCAAACGTTTACGAAGCAATGTTTTCGTAGCTACGTTCTACTTTTCAATGCCGGAACATAGAACCAAATTTTGTGGTTGGCATACTACAACAATAATATATCGATATATTTATGTGTTTGTGTATGACGTAACTCTTTGATCACTGGCATTCAGATTACGAGATTTTATTTTGCAGGCTCTTGACTTGTAAATAGTCAAAACAAAACCGCTGTTTTCTTTTTGTTCAATCGATTACGCATTTCGTTACACTTTTTCTTCATTTATTTTTATTCTATACTACTGCAGCTGAATGATAGGCCGTATCATCCGTATCCTCATTCTCAATTTAAAAATAACTCGTGAATCGAAAGTGAAAATGAATCGTCAATTTTTATTTGGAGTGTGTACGTGTCCATGTAAAGAAAAAAAGAGCGGCACATATTTCAGATTTAAATAGAGAGAGAGAGAGAGAACAAAAAAGGGAGCCTATTTCATTTGAAACAGGTGACGCATTTTAACTGAGGAAATATAACTGTAGCACATAATGAGTGGAAACAAGAGGAAAGCAAAACAAAAGAGAAGAAACAATGCTAAACCTCTATTAGTACAATACGTATTTTTATTTCGTTTCGTAAAACTCTATGTATACAAAACCACAAAAACACATCAATTGATGCATTGGTTTCATTTGTAACCCAACCCCCCCTCTTATCCTTCTTCTTCTTCTTCTCGTAAGAAATCAGAAAAAGAGACACATAACATGGACCTTAGGATTTTTTTTATACGCAGCCAATATATTTATATTTAAAATGAAACAAACAAAAAAAATGAAATTAATAAAATTACATGGAATTAGATATGAAATTGAATAATTTATAGATAAATATGATCGATATTTCATAAGAAACAAAAATTCGTATTTATGAGAGAGAAGAAATTATTGCAAATTAGTTAATAAAAAGAAACAACAACAACAAAATGATTTGAACGCATAACTTGTCTTTTTATTTGCCTTCGAACTTTGTCTTTTTTCCACAGAGACATGTTTGCAGACAGACAGTGGTCATAAAAAGAAAGGTGTGAAAACAACAGACGGCACGTCTTGCTAATGGTTATTTAATTGCACCAGACAGTATTGTTAACAGGGTAATATCATTCAAATGAAGCTATCACTGAATAAGCAACCTTTTTTTATTGCAGTTTTCTGGATCATTTTTTTTTATGAAGTTTTTATTTTACGATGCTAAATATCTATTTCTGTTGAGTATACAGATAAAACAGTTCGTGCTCTTGTTTTTGCAAAAAGATTTACCTTTTTCCAACCAGTCGATTGGAAAAACTTTAAAGAATGTCTAATTTCGGAATTACCTTCCCAATGTTCTCAATTTCTTCGGGCTTCCAATGTTCTCAATTTCATTACCTGTGGAATTAAAATCGATCGAAATAAAACGCAACCAATTTTACTTTATCGTTAGATTGAATAAGATTAATTTACTTTATTTTTTTTAATGATTTTTTCTTTGTTTTGTTTTTTTTTCCACTCACATATCGATGAATTAAAAATGCTTTTTATCCAATATCTGAATCATTTGAATCCACTTCTCTGTTTCTTCTTCTTGTAATTTAATTTGTCTTTCCACACTAGTTTTGCACTATTGAATGAGTGCGGAATCGACACCTATTCGTTTTGTATATTTGCACTTGATTTGCTTGATATTGACTTATTTCTATTTTGTGTGTGTGTATGTGTGTTTAAATTTAAATTGAATTCACATTGAAATGAGCACAATTAAAAATGGTTATTAATGGATTTTTCTTCTTTCTTCAAGTTCAAGTGTTTTTTTCTTCTCTCAATAAAAATCCAGTTTGACCACTTTATCCCTAGATAGAGAAAGAGGAAGAGGATTCTGTTTTGCTATTAACCGTGCATCACACGACTGTAGCACAACAACACCACCTTCTTCTAAATTCAATGTGTTTCTTTAAAACAGAAATTTAAAATTCTAACAATTTAAATAATTTATAGCTACGTTTAGAAATAAAAATCTACGAGAGATAGAGAAAAAAAAACGAAACTAAAAGACATGAACGTAAGCATGGTGTTTCTAAATATAATTATTTTTTGTATGTTTCTGTTTTGAGATTAATAAACCACAAATGTCACCACTAGCTAGAGGTACGAAAAAAATATTAAATGAAATGTTAAATTAAGAAGAAAATGAAAACCAACAATTGGATTGGTTTTCGGTGTGGGAATTTGATTAAAAATTCAATCTTTTAGTTGTAGATTTTGTGTGTGTGTGTGTTTAGTTTTTAACTGGTAAAACTGGTGGTGGATAGTTGAACGGAACCGATTGGACTGTATTGAATGATAATGATGGTGGCGGTAAATTGTAGAGAGAAGGAACACCGGATGGCATTGCATAGGATTGATGTGTTCCCTGTTGGCCATACACATTTGAAATCCCCGAATTTGGTTTTGATTGGAAACCATTGAATTTTGATTGGTCGGCGCTGTTGCGTAATTGATTTGCGCTGCCACCATTTGCAGCCGATGCATCATAGTATGATCCAGTCTTGGGCGGATAGTTTGATGTGGTTGATCGTGGTACATACGATGGTTTTTGGTCTTGATTTGCGCTTCCCGTGTTGCCATTGTATGGTCGTGGCTGATATGCTGAATTACCATTTGGTACACTTGAGAAGCGTGAAGTTGGACGCTGACCACCGCCATTGCCAAAACCATTGGCCGAACGTTGACCGTTGGAACCGTACGGCTGTGAACGATTGCGGAAATCATTCATACCGCCACCATTTGGGCGACCGCCGCGTTGATTGTATTTGTTACGGCCTGATCCATTGCCACCTTTCTTTACCATATCCAAAAGTCGAGGATTCACGACCTATGCAGAGAAAGAGAAAAGAAACAACCGTTTTCAGTTGATAGTTTTTTTTTCTTTGGTTTTAAATTATAGCGTGCGCAACACTCACCTGATTTGCTTCCTTGAGCACATTGACCAGGTCACCGGCTTTGGATGCGTTTTGAATGGTAAACAAAGTGTATGCCGTTCCAGTGTTATTCGATCGACCGGTACGACCAATGCGATGAATATACTCTTCAGAGTTGTTCGGATAGTCGAAATTGACAACGAACTTAACGTCTTCAACATCTGTATTCATTGATCGTGGAATGGGGGAAGTATAAATTTAGTTCAATTCTATGTGGTAATGTCAAGAGTCTTTGTGTTTTTTCTTTCAAATTTTCTTTGCACAAAATAGATACATATGCATATAGATAGAGACAAAAATAATCAACTTATTATTCTTTTTTTTTTGGTAAAAATTTTATGAAGATAATGTTTGTTTGTGTTTCTTATATTCGTCAATGAATGTCAATTCACGAAAAAAACCAAATTCTATTACGTTGCACTTTAAATCACACTAGTTTTTTTTTATTGTTTTGTTTTGTTTTGGAATTTGCTCTTACTTAATCTATTGGACCTTATGCAAAAACAATGTTCAACAAAAAAAAGCACCAACAAAAGCAAGATGTGTGTATGTGTATGTTTGAAATTAGTCCGTTGTGTTTACATACCTTTGCGTTTATTACATGTGTGTGTATGTGATAAATATAAATTAATAAACTTTTTCTTTCTGTACTTGTTTTTGTTTCAAACAAAACGAGAACAAAACAAAATAATTAATTGGAAACTCTTAGAGGTTAAACGTTATTCGGAATAAAAACAAACAAAAGTATAAAGCGTTTAGCTGGTTTTCGGTCCTGGTTTGTTTTTGGGCTTGAATTACCTGAAGGAGAAAAAGGAATTTTTTTTCTTCATGCCTCACACCTCAAACACAATCGAGTAAGTTGCTCGGCACCTCGACAAAATTCGCTTCTTCCACATGCATTCACGGTTCAATCACAAAAAAATGTAAATAATTATTTTTTGTGCATTGACATTTGCACCACAACAACAAATGTCAGTAAATTTAACATCATTCACACCCGGTGATTCAAAGGTGACAGATCAAAAGTTCAACGCCTATCATATACCCGCTTATTAAAAATTTCTCAATGAATGATTTTCATTCGCGTATATATGATAAATAGTAATAGGAATTGTAATATGGTTTTTTCGCAATTATTTGTTTTTCATGAATATAATAAACATAAAATTATGATTTTTTAGAAAGTATATCATCGGTAAAAATGTGTTTTGTGTGTCAGTCAAATAGATAAAAACGACCAAAATTCGAAAAATTGTTTCAATTTTACGTTCCCTGCATAGTCAAATGCATATTTTCAAATTATATTTCCTCTAGCGCCGAACACTATCGGAGTGAAAGTGAAAGAGCGACAGAAAACAAATAGAGAGTGAATATTATCAACAAAAATAAAAAAAGACTGGAAATGAGAATATAAAATAGAGATAATAAATAGGAATTAAGAAAAATGCGTAAAAAAGACGTCGTGTCATTGGAGTCTGAAATTTTTCTTAGTTTTTATTTTAAAATAAAATGGAAGTTCTCAAACACCGAGTCTGAGTTAGTTCACAGCACCATAACATCTCGTCGAGCATTGCCACTGGAGACACAGGACGAACGCTCTCTCTTGAATCGAAACGGTGGAAAAGTGGGGGAGCGAGCGCCGGATTCATGAAGAGAACCCAACACCTAAGTTCATTTCCGAAAATTGCATCATAACACATAATCAACTGGATTGGACACTCGTTTTTCGAAAAGCCATTTGAACAAATAAAAAAAAAATTATTACATAGCAAAGAGCGTCCACAATTTTTCAACTTAGATTCGAACATCAAAATCCATTTCAATAATATAAATTCAATGAAATAAAAACGATCGATTCCATTGAAGTAAAAAAAAAAAACCTGTTGTATGTTGTATATGCACTACATACAATATTATATATGTTATAATATATAATCGACTACATTTTCCCAGTATTCACTTTAAATAAAAACTATTAGTAGAAAGGCAAAAAATGAAATGATACCAATTTCCACAGAAAAAACCCAAAACAAAAATTTAAGCCTAGCTTAGCCTAGCTAATTTTGTTTTGTTTTTTTTTTCTCGCAACAAAATTAAAAACAAAAAAACCAACAGCGAAAAAAACAACGAATCAAATAAAAATGTTTCAAAAGAAACGAGAAAGAAAATAGTGAACAAATAATGAGACCTACTTACCTGGTGGCGACCATCATCCGATATATCGTCTCTAAGTTTTTACATAAAATTCAAAACAGATAGGATAATCGGTGCTAGATGAGTTAAAAACTGACGAATATTTAAACCAACTACAACTACCGCACATAGGAATGCTCAGACATGTTTCGCCACTAAATTAACGTGAATACTTGGAAAAATAAAGTTCTCATATTTCTTTGTTTTTTTCTTCTTTTTTGTTGTTGCTTATATAAATATATCAATTAGTTTGGTTTCGATTTCGATTCCGCTTCGTCGACGACTTAACGAACAGAAGAAAATTGTGTTACAATTTAGGAGCAAGAGAAAGAGAGAGAGAGAGAGAAAATTTTCTTTTTTTCAACAACGAAAACAAATGATAATAATAAAAGTAATAAATCAATTGCTTTGATTTGAAGAAGAATAAACCGTACCGTTGTATCCATTAGGCTTTTGGTTTTTGTGCAAATTAAAAACAATAATTAGAAAATTTCGATGCTGTTTGTTTGCTGCTTTGTAAAAATTGACTCCATTTTGTTTCGTTTCGGATATTTTAAACAAAAATACGTGTGATTTTAAGAATATCACGAGAGAATTTAAATTAAAAAAAGGTTTTGCTTCTTTCTAAAGGTAAAATTGAACTGGTAAACAACACTTCACTATTTTGCACATAGTAACAGCGCAGAGATCTTTCGGCCATAACAATATATCTGACTGACTTCAGTGTAAAATTTTGGATCATTTAAATTAACGATTTTTACTCTCTACCACTCATATAGTAACATCATCATCATAATATATATCAGTTTGAACGAAAAAAAAAACTATTAAAATGAAAGTAACTGGTAATGTGTGGTTCTCGGTGTTCGATTGCCATCGAATCGAAGGTGTTCTTAAGGCATTACATTGCCGCAGACGTGCAATTCGATCGAGTGCATCGAAAACCAAGACAATTTCAAAAACAAAAGAAAAGAAAAAGCCAAATAAAATGCACGATTTCAATTTGCAGAAAAGAAAAGAAAAAGTTTGAGATCAACAATTTTAGAAAACGTAATAAAAAAGATCCGTTTTGGGGAACGCATTATTTTTGTTTCTCTTCTAAATTGTTTCATCTCGCTTCGGTCTTTGTGTGTGAGCGCGTGTGTTTTTCGCATGTTCCTCATCATTTTTCTTTTCTTGTCTTTTCCTTTTTCTTTTCATTTTTGATCTCATTTCAAATTGAGCCATTGAGTGAGTCCACTGAATCAACACACACGGTTACAGTGTCTGCTTTTTTTTTGCTAAATGATGTTCACGTAATCTTACCTAATCCACGAGCAGCAACATCAGTTGCTACCAAAATTGCTTGACGTCCACGACGAAAAGCGTTCAAAACATAGTCACGCTCCTGTTGCGATTTGTCGCCATGAATGGCACAAGCCTTCCAACCACCTCGGTTGATTGAACGCGTCAAATCGTCTACTTTGCGTTTTGTTTCCACGAAAATGATGACCTTGGAGTCGGGCTCATTCATTTCGCCCAATAATCGCATCAGTTTGTCTTGTTTCTCTTCCTCGCCGCACACGTCAATGATTTGCAAAATGTTATGGTTGGCCGACAGATTCACCGATCCGATGTTCACTTGAATGTATGAGGTAAGGAACTCCTCAGCCAGCATGCGGACTTCTTTTGGCCAGGTAGCCGACCACATCAACACTTGACGGTCGGGACGGATTTGACCAATGATCTTACGGATTTGTGGCTCGAACCCCATATCCAACATACGATCAGCTGTTTTTTTTGTAACAACATTCATAATTAGACTAAATTGAAATAAATGTGAAAAACAAAAGATGAGACTTGCCTTCATCCAACACAAGATATGTGCATCGGCGCAAATTGGTGGTTCCTTTCTCAAGGAAATCGATCAAACGGCCTGGTGTTGCGATGACAACATCAACACCACGCTCCAAGTCACGGGCTTGGCTACCTTTTGGTGCACCACCGAAGATACATGTGTTACTCACGCGTGCGTTCGCTCCAAAATCATGGCATACTTGCTGAATCTGCTGTGCCAGCTCACGTGTCGGAGCCAAAATCAATGCGATTGGACCATCACCACGCTTGCGACGCTCTTGATTATTGATATGAATCATACTTGGCAAAACATATGCCAATGTTTTACCCGATCCCGTCTTGGCAATGCCAACCAAATCACGACCGCTCAATGCAATCGGCCAGCTGGTTGCCTGGATTGCCGTTGGCTTCTCAAAACCTTGACGTTTAACGCTGCTCATGACATAGTCTGGGAATAATTCTTCATGGAATTCTGTGTTTGGTGATGGAAGCTCTGTTCCACGCAACGTAATCTCGTTGCTTTTGAAGAATGCATCAATATCAGCTTGTGATATGGTCGCTAACGGTGTGTAGAAGTTCTTGCGGAACGGCGTTAACGAAATGGTTTCCCAATCGATGGCACGCAAATTGCTACCATTTTGCGACTGCTGTGGTTTTGCAGCCGATGATTGGTTTCGGTCATTGCGGAAATCATTTCGATTTCCATTTGGCTGTGGCCGAAAACGATCACCAAATTTTCCATTTGTACTTTGCATTTGATTGTACCTAACGAGAGAGGGTGGGAGAGAAAAAAAAAACACACAAAACCATAAGCATAAAGCCATATATCAACGGTAACCACTCATCAAAATCGATTATTATGTCGTAGTAATGGAAATTTCCATCAAATCGACTGCCATGACATTGAGTGATTTTCATTGGTTATTAGACAGCGATAATATAAATTTTTAGTTGAGCAAATCCAAAAAAAAGCAATATGGCGATTCATTTGGGATGGAATAAAAATTGCGTTTTCTATTTTAACTATCAGCAAAAGCTATCTCTATCAAATATAATTGCAGACATTTTACTAAAAGGTAAAAAAATGTCTCTCTCTCTCTCTCCCCCCCCTTCTACTACACTCATTCACTGCTTGCTTACTTGTCTACTTACTCTATTCATACAAGTTCGAGAGAAAAAAAAAATTTATGCCTAATTTTCACACAATCGCTGGTGAAAAATCGACAAACTACTTACATTTTTGATAAGATTTTCAACGAAACTCTTGTTTTCAATTGAAATAGAATTGGTTTGAACTGATTTTTTGGTCAGAAATAATTAATTGAAGGAAACTGTTTCACAAAGCACAAATGGCGAACACAGTATGTGAGTTAACACTGAATTATAGAAACAACGTATGTATTGATTTTTTCGTTGGACCCTTTCTATACGCATGCCTCGTTCACAGCTCGCCTGTGCACTGTCACAACGCCGTCGCCATCTTGATTTGAGCATCTGATTTTTTTTCCATTGTTGTTTCCATTCGCCCAAATCATTTCAGATGCAATTTACAGATAATATGGAAAATTGCTAATTTTCTTGTCATAAATCAATATTTATCTGCATTCATATAATTTTTCCATTAAACAATTGGATTCGAAAAATACGTTGTATAGTTTCGTCATACGAAAATAGTTATCACAGCATCGATGCTATGTGACTTACATGCTCTGTGAACGTGACTTAATTACGTCAGTGCTAATGAAATAGCTTCGTACATCTGGTGAAATTTCTATGTGTGAGTCAGTGAACTGCTGTACAAGATATATTGCAACACGAAAAGTTTGAAGCTCGAATCTTTTTCTTTCTTTTCATCCAAAATTACAAAAACATCAAATTGAATTTTGCTTAATTCGTTCAGTAAATAGGCTGTAGTAAATTGATAAAACAAGATGTAAGTGATGATTTTTGTGTGATGCGAGAATATTTCATTTTCAAATTGTTGAATTCATTTTGGTGTGAATTTCTCTCTTTCATTCATCGTTTTTGCAATCATTCATTTTCAACATGTCTGCCCTTTTCACACTGTTCATAGCAGTTTGTTGGTGTACTAATTGTGCTCTTTCACACGAACGAACGAACGGCATGAAAACCTATTTCGAATGAATGTTGTATTATTTGCTTCCGTGTTGAATTTGCTGTGTAGAGAAAAAATGAAGACTTACACAGGTTGACCTTTATCTAATTTTATGTGTTATATTCTTTGTGTAGGTTCAATCGTGATCGTGGCAACTCCAACTCTGACTACGGTCGGAATAATAACAATAATAATAGAGGCTCTCGCGGTGATGGTCCAACAAGAGGAGGGCTCGGTGGAGGAGGTGGTGGTGGTCGTAATGATGGGCCACCCCAAGGAGGTATGGGCGGCGGTGGCAACGCGTTTCGACGGTAAGAAATGTGTTAACAATCACTTATTTTAAATCTCGCTTTTTACCTGGTTTATTTTTGGAAATAATTTTGAATGATGTCTTTCGTAGAGATGATCAAAGGTCGTCGGATCGACGAAATGGTCCAAGCTCAGGCGGTGGTGGCTTTGGTGGTGGTGGCTTCGGTAGTGGTGGTGGAGATCGTTACTCGAGTAGCAAGAATCAACAACAACCTGGTGAACGTTTGCGACGCGTACGTTGGGAAGACTTTGAACTGATTGAATTCCAGAAGAACTTTTATCGACCATGCGAATCGGTGCTGCATCGTACACCCCAAGAGATTGAGCGTTTCCATCGTAAAAATGAAATCACCACCAAAGGACGAGATGTTCCACCGCCAATGTTGGAATTCTTTGAAGGAGCCTTTCCCGATTATGCCATGCGCGAAATTCAAAAATGCGGTTTCGAAAAACCAACCGCCATTCAAGCTCAAGGTATGTCCGATTTGCATTATTAATTGGTGTTTACATCATTTGTTTTTATCTCTCTTTGATGTGCACGAAATTAAAATAAATTCATAATATAAAATGAATAATTTATCGTTATGAAAATCGTTCGTGATGTGAAATCATTCATTTCAAATGCACGATCTGTAGTGTGCAAAGAGATAGTAAAAAATGTACATATTCATTATAATTTGGTTGGCGCATTAAAGCTCGTTCAAACTTCCTCAAGTGCAGCGCACATAATTAATTATTCAAATGCATACGGTTTTCTGTTAATTAGGTTGGCCGATTGCATTGAGTGGTCGCGATATGGTTGGCATCGCACAAACTGGATCGGGTAAAACGCTCGCATACATTATGCCCGCTGTTGTTCATATCAATCATCAACCACGTCTGTCACGTGGCGATGGGCCAATTGTATTGGTTTTGGCCCCAACTCGTGAGCTGGCACAACAAATTCAACAAGTTGCCAACGATTTTGGTTCATGCACTCACCTTAAAAACACTTGGTATGGGTTTGTGGTCACAAGATAATTAAATGAAATATGCCAAAGTGACAACCAAATTATTTTCATCGTTTTTTTTCGCATTATTTAGCATTTTTGGTGGTGCACCAAAAGGGCCACAAGCCCGTGACTTGGAACGAGGTGTCGAAATTGTCATTGCCACACCAGGCCGTTTGATTGATTTCCTTGAAAAGGGAACAACCAATTTGCGCCGATGCACATATCTGGTTTTGGACGAAGCTGATCGTATGTTGGATATGGGTTTCGAGCCACAAATTCGTAAGATCATTGAACAAATCCGTCCCGATCGACAAGTGTTGATGTGGTCGGCCACCTGGCCAAAAGAAGTCCGGATGCTGGCTGAAGAGTTCCTCAACTCATACATTCAAGTGAACATCGGTTCATTGAATCTGTCTGCCAATCACAATATTTTGCAAATCGTCGACGTTTGCGAAGAATTCGAAAAGGAACAAGTAAGTATTAGCTTTTTATTGATACACATTTTTTTTTTCTATTAGTTTGGGAAATCGCTAAATCTCGATTCTGTTTTTTTTTAAAATTAGAAATTGATGACATTGCTGCAAGAGATTTCTGGTGAACCAGAAACAAAAACAATTATCTTTGTTGAGACGAAGCGTCGTGTTGATGAAATAACTCGCGCCGTGTGCCGCAACGGCTGGAGAGCAGTTGCCATTCATGGTAAATGTTCGCCCATGTAGAAGTCCATTTTTGAAATTCAATATTTTACCATGATTTCCTTCTTTCCTCAATTTCAACAGGTAACAAGACACAACAAGAGCGTGACTACGTGTTGAATTCATTCCGTAATGGGCGTCAATCGATTTTAGTGGCAACTGATGTTGCTGCTCGTGGATTAGGTAAGAGTTTCTGTGGCCAGTGTATTGGTTGATCAACGAATCGACAGCAAAAAAGAAAAAAAAAAACAAACAAGAAATCGAACGATCAATCAATTGCTCGCTTCAAAGTAAACACATTTTTTTAATTTAGAGAATAACCATTCATTGGTTACATAAAAGAAGGTTAGATTGGGATAATCAGGTCAGTCAGATGATTTATGGCCACCGGGTTTTGTTGCACATTCCATTTTTTTAACGAAGAAAAATCCATCGGCTGAAGACTTGAAACAATTCACCACACAATTCAGTTGAATTCAGTGTCTCGGCTTTGTTTGCTCCGTATTTTGTTTCAATAAAAACGAACGAGAGTGACAACGTAATTGATAGAAAAAGTTAAAGTAAACACAATAACGCACACAGACAGACAAGACACAGGAGAAAATGGTAAACGAAAAACGGAATCTAAGCAGACGTTTCGAGATTCCAATTATCAGTTTTCCAACCAAATGTCCATCACCGCAAAACAAATTTTATAGTGTTTATGTCCAGTATTCACTCCAAAATATCCAATCAAAGACAAAGACTTTATGTAATCACATCGGGCATCAGTGTATTTTCATCGATTTTCGTCGCGCAAAAAGACAACGAACATGGGGTAAGTACACGGAACGAGTATTTTCTTTTTGTTGCGTTTTCATTTGCACATTTTCAGTAAACGACAACAACATCAACGAGCATTGCTACACACAACGACTGTGTAGCCATGTGCAGTTTCATCGAAAGAAAATTGAAGAAAAGAAAAAAAAAACGAAATCATCATCAGTGAATACTGGATTAAAGACAAATAAAACGTACTCTGCGGTGATATTGCAATTTGTACAGCTGCTGTGGTTCTCTGAGTTGGATTGTGTGTGATATTTGAATTTGTTTCGAACGATTTTATTTAGCTTTGGGTGTATTCTGTTGTTTGCATATTCTCATCGACACGTGTCATTGTTGCTTCTTCGGTGAGCATCGGATTCATGCCTATCCAACGAATCTGATGTCATCGCCCTCCTCAACTCAATGCCGCCGCATTATCTACAATTTGAAAAATCGACAAATCAGTAGCGTGCAATGCAAATAAAAAAGAGAGTCAAATACAACTAACGCTGAAACCATGACAAAAATGAAACGTAAATCTCAGCGAAACACATTCGGTGAGTGAAAGTCTCCACTTCCGTTCTCAAAACAAAGAAACAAAAACATGCTATCGCCAACGCTATCAGACGGTGGCAACAAATGTTCGGTAAAACTAAAACAAAGACAAACTAACGAAATGAAATCATCAGCCCAACACATTCGAAAGCATCAATTCCATGCCGTTCATCCGAGAATGGCACACATACGAACAAAAACACAACGTAGGAATCAGTTGGCTTCGGAAATAATTGTCGCTGCTAATAATCTCACTCTCGATTCACTTCCATGCAGCGATAGCACCAATTTGATTTGGAATATGATTTGTTCATATATATGTAAGATTGGCCTTGAAATAAGTTGATATTTTTTTGCTAAGTTCTTTGTTGACCAAAACACCATATAAAACACGAGCGAAATACATAAACCAGTGGCTGATGTGAACACAAGGCAATACTAAAATACTTGAAAGACAAACATAAAAACCAACCGCATTGATTCGCTGTAAGTAGACTGTATGGCGGCCAATATTCGAGCAAATCAAAACAAGTGCATTTGAATTTGTTCGTTCGAGATATGAAAGAGGCAACAAAAAAATCTTCACTACACACAAAGTGCAAATTATGATATGTATTATGATAATGTGTCACAGAAACAATTAAAACGTATCGAAAAATATCCAAGCCGAACTAAGAATATATTTTTCAAAGTACACAAAGTGAAACAGAAACAGACTCCCACTGGCCAATTTATTTGACTGACAATAGCGAGGAAAAAAAACAGAACATAAGCAGAAACTTTGCCATTTGTTTATTTGTTTATGAACTAAATTTGTGAAACATACATGCTTGTTGACTTTGATGGACCATTTTACGCGAGAGAGAGAGAGAGAGAGAGAGAGAGAGAGAGAGAGAAAGAGAAATAGGTAAAAACACATAGACATTGGTCAAAATGATTCGGAATGAATGCGTTACGCAATTTTTTAACGCATTCACACGCATAAAAAACATTAGTGAAAAATGTAATGCAAAACTAAATGGGGAAAAGCATGCGTGGACATCGAACTTTATTCTGAATATTCGTTATGAAATTGTGTTCTGGTTTCAACTGTAATATGTTCAAACAGAACCGTGTCAGAATCAACAAAAGCAACGATCATCATTTTGAATTTAAAACAGAAAAAAAAATCCACGAAATCTCTATCAAGTTCCAGCTTCATTTGTTTCAATTAATTTTAAGTATTTTTCTCGATCAAAAGAAAGAGAAATAGACAAATGAAATGGAATTCGGCTCGCATACATAATTTCATTTCATGGAATAAGCTCGGAATTTTGGTTCTATCATAATCAGGAATTTATGTTCACAAACAACTCGAAATTTTTTCTGTTCGCTTTTATTATTCGATAAATAACCAATCAATACCAAACCAAAAGAAAAATAACAAAAAAAAAACCATACGAACCGATTTCAATAAGCATTCGCCTAAAAATACGAAATTATTCAGATGTGGAAGATGTTAAGTTCGTAATCAACTTCGACTACCCAAACAACTCCGAAGATTACGTTCATCGAATCGGTCGCACTGGCAGATCGAACAACACCGGCACCGCTTACACTCTGTTCACCTATCAAAATGCGTCGAAAGCCAATGATTTGATCCAAGTTCTCAAAGAAGCAAATCAGGTGAGAGGCAAACGGTTTTTTTTTTTGAAAAAAAAAATCTTAATTTCTTAGCACCAATTTTTTCCGTTTTTTTCCTACGTTTTTGCTTTGGCTCATATTAATACAATATTTCTGTTGTTTTTTCGTTTACTTTTTCTACTTTTCCTCTGTCTCTCTTGTTCTCTCCCTCGTTAGGTGGTGAATCCGAAATTGTTTGAACTGTCAAAGTCCGGCTCACACGGTAACAATCGCAATTCGCGGTACGGCAACCGCGGAAATGGTGGCGGAAACAATTTCAACCGAGGTAACAACGATCGACGTCCATTTGGAAACAATGGCAATGGCAATCGTTCGAATGGTTTTGGTAACGGAAATGACAATGCATTCAGACGCGATAAAGATCGCAATGAAAATGGAGGTGGATCACGTTTCTCGAACTTGAATGGCAGCAGCGGTGGCGGCGGCACATCCCGTTTCTCAAATCTAAGCTCTGCTGTCAACACAACATCAGGCAACGCCGGAAACTCGAACTCACGATTCGGAAATAGCTTTGGCAGCAATAGTGCAAGCAATGGTGGTGCCAGTGGTGGCCGCGAGGGTGGTTCACGATTTTCGGCACCCAATTCACAAGCCACATCACGCTTCTCAAACAATGACTCATACAACAAACCATCGACAAACACTGATTTCTATCCAAATTCGGCGTCCAAATTCAAACCATATGACAACAACAAACCAAACACATACGATAACAACAAACCCAAACTTCCCGTGACCAATTCCACAAATGGTACAGCCAGCAGTATGCCCTATCCACCGCCATACAATGGCTACGGATCAGAGGCAATGTTCGCTTATCCTCCACCTCCAATCCATTAAATTCTCTTCATCTCTTATCGAAGTTACTCGCGCAACAACAAATGCAACACTCACACACACACACACACACAAACAAACATTTACATTCGCTGCAATTCATCATTGAATCGAATTGCAGACCATTTAGTTAAATTATTATTAATCTATCCAAGTAAAGAGATTTCAACATTTTCTACTTACTGTTGGTGTTGGTCATTTGAAACAACAAGAAATCGTATGCATACGAGTAGTTTACCGTACCCAAAACTGGAAAACCCGACCATTTCCCATTCACAATGACGCAACAACAATTTGTTCCACAAATTGCAGAACTATTTGACAAACCCTATATAATCTATACTATCCGAAAAATTTTAACGAAAAAAAAAATCATAAATTGACAATTTTCCCTCTTTTGTTTTAATCCAAAGTAGAACTTATTCGCGTAATATTATTTCTGTGCTAAATAAGTAGTATTATCCAACTATTAAATTAGTATGTGTTTATACGTAACAGAAAAAAACAAAACAAAACTTAATCCCCCGAGTGAAATGCCGCAATAAAAACATGATAACAAAAAAATTAGTTTCAAAATGACAACAACAAATAAAGATTCTTTCTAAGCTTAAAAAAAAGTATATTTTAACCAATTTGAGCATTTTAGGTAGCAGTCGCTCGACTTTGCTCTCACTCCATGCTCGAGTGCATAAACGTTAAATGTCAAATGATGAAAAAAATGATACAAATAAATAAATCAAGTTTTAGTACGTACAAACAAAGTATTACATCTTTTTCTTACCTATTGTTCATTTTCAGCATTGAATCGAATTGAAAAAATTAACAATGCAGTCATCCCAAAAAAAATTGATTGAAATTCAAAACACGAAATTCATTGGTGTCAAATACTATAAATTTTTCTTTATTTATCTTATTATTTTACTTAATTTCCTTTTTAAATCTGTTCAGCAAGTGTTCTTTTAAATAATCCAGTCACAGTAAATCGATTGTGGAATTGGCCGTCATGGCCGTGTGAAAATGTTCAAATACTAAATCTCTTTTTGAAGCAAGAGAAGGTAAAATCTTTTGTTCGTCGACTTTTGGTGAAGGTAAAATCTTGAAAACTTTCAGTGGGTAATAAATGAGGTAAGGCTAAAAAATCGAACAAAAAGCATACTAATGCTTTGTTTAAAAAAAAACTCTTCTGTCTTTTGACCGAATTGATAAACGTGCCTCATCGTATTTGTAACATGGATAAAATCGATTTACTTACAAAGATACTTGTTTTTTTTTCTAGAGAAATTCATTAAAATCAACTTGTTCTACAACTTTAAGAAGAAAAAAAACACACGAATTTCAAAAACTTCAATCTTTGTGGGCTTGTTCTAATATCGAATCAATATTGACAAATAAATAAATAAATAAATAAATAATTAATTTAATCGTAAGACAAGACTAATTAGATATTATTGGTAAAATAATTTACTAGAAATAAAAAAAATATATCAATGAATCTAATGAGGACACATTCGACGAAAAAAATAAAATAAATAAATAAATAATCGTTCGTTTGGATGAAAAATGCACATGAAAAAAAAAGAAAGAAAAATATTCAAAGGAAAAATTACAAATGGAGATGGTAAGACATAAATGAAAATTCTAGTTGGTTTTTTATACAAATATCTTATTTTTGAGCATTTCTTTTGGTGGAGTAAATTGTGTGAACGTAAATTGTCGAGAGAAAAAAAAAGTCGATCAAATGTATCAAAATCTACGTATTGCATTCAGCCGATACAATATTGCTTAAAAATCTTAATTTCAATCCAGTTATTTTTTTTTTTTTTTGGTTTCCTAATAAAAAATTTCTTTTCAATTCACTCTTCATCAAAATCAATCCAATCCAATTTTTAAAAAAATTTCTTTGTTCCATAATTGTTGTGCGATTTAATTTGTGGTTGTTGTAATATGTATGTGATAAATTCCACGTTGTGATTATTATCGTTAAAAATCGGTATCATCAAATTGATTGTGGAGTTGCCTAGTCTTGTTTTAATCCATTTGCTTGAGCCTGGGCTGCTGCATTGATTTTCGCCTCTCGTCGGCTAATCTGATACCACACAACTAGTCGGCCGGTGAGCATAAAAGTGAATACCAACGCCGGTCCGATTCGTTCAAAGGCATCGCTCACCATGTAGTGGTTGTAAATTGATAAGAACATTAACGCCAGCAACGTTATATTCCCAGCATTTTTCACTTTGTCTGCAAAATCAGAGTGATTGATCAGTCATTTTTGATTGAATGAATATACAAAAAAAAATTAAAATAGCTTACGATTCGGAATGGCTGCCATCGCAAGACCGCTTCCAACTTCCAAGCCACCAACGACACGTCGATACCATTTCGATGGGATTTTTATGTCAAACAGATCGGATAATGGAAACACTTTTGAATATTTCACATATTCCTTTCGCTATAATTCGAGAAGAAAAATAGAAAACGGGAAATGAGACGAAAGAATCAAAACATGCGTTATTATTTGCGTAAAATATCGCGAATCGTGTGAAATGAGAGACTTGTGCGTGTGTCTAATTAATTCTAAGCAATTCACGCGAATGATGTGTCGCAACCTTGAAAATATCAAAATAAAAGACCTTTTGTATGTTCTATATGAGTGAAATTGAAATACTCGAGGAAGCAGACGCGTCATTTATAAATTGAGCCGCAGCAATAAACGAGAGACAGTGGAATGAACAACGAAGACAGGAACAGGCCGAGAAAGAGAAACGATCACAAGCGAAACAAAAAGGCAGAACGGAAAAAACGAAACGATGAACGGGAACAGAATAGAAACGACATCGGCGACGACAGTGAAAAAATGCACGAAAAAACTTTTTTTTTTCAAAAAAATGTATTTACTTTTGATTCCTACGCAAACACACGTTGCTAAAATTATATCGAAAATAGTCAAGTTCACATGTTATTTCATTGGATAAAAATAACACACAGCTTAGCGGAAAAAACGATTCGCCGAATATTCCGAATGTATCGCTCCTGTTATGAATTATTATTATTATGTGTTCAATGGCCATTTATTTACGCGTGTTATTGCCGTTTATTTATTTTTGCTTCCGCTTTTGTGTTGTTGTTCATATGGTAATGGGATTGATTTATTTATATTGGCGCTGCCAGTGAAAATGATTGCTATTTCATTTTCATCTCATTTGATCGAATAGTAAACATGTAATGATTACGTGGCGATGAAAAGAAATCGCCTGATTGATCAACGAACGGGTGATGTATCGCGAGCGGGCACTCACTCGCTTTTGCTCACTTCTTTTTTTCTTTTTGTCTTCTCCTTCCTTCCTTCCTTTCCTTTTCGACGGTTTTTCTTTTTCTTACAATCACGTTGTTATACACGGTGAAAATGGTGTTTCGCTTATGCTCAACACATGAAATTCGGTTTCATTTTTTGTACGTGTTTAGTGCACTAACGGTGTACAAAATCACGGACGCACATATATATCATACCCCACAAACGTACGATATATACGATGCAATTTAGCTGAATCTATTTTAATAAAACCTGCGTCGAGCTACCGGTCACAACAAAATGCACAATGTCTCTCAAATGTTCAGATCGAACTAGTTTTGTGTTTGATTTGCGCGATAGTTTCTTTTTTCGCTTTCGTAGGCCAATTATCTATTGTCGATTTTTTTTCCTTCTTTCCAAGGTATTACAACCGCCGTTGATACTTCGTACACACAGGGACTAGTCACTGCCGTACACAGAACTGCAAGCAGTAAAAGTACACCAAACGAATTGAATTGAAATCAAAAACAAATCAACCCAAAAATGAACGTCTGAACCACATGCCACGAGTTTTCATTAACACTTGATTTGAATAAAATGAGAATATGACCAGAGATGCATCGAGAATGCTTGTTCCGATTAGCCATGAACTTACCAAATCTTTATGCAAATCTTTGCTGATGAGAGGTGATATTTTCATGAAGCCGATGACCACGAAGAATAAACCCAACAAAATTGATAAACTTTTTAGCACCACCGATGAGCTGACACTGTGATTATTGAGCGGCCCACTGGGTGGTGGTTGAGCATTTTGTGAACTTTGTGATTGTGTCATTGTTGATTCTTTTCTTTTGTTGTTGTTGTTGTTGTTTGTCTTAGGGTTGAAATTGAAATTAATTTATTGATAGCTGTATGTGTCACTTAGCTGCCTGGCTTTTGTTCTTTCTCTCGATCGAATCACTTGTATTTACTTATCAATGAAAACTTTTAACTTCCTTTCAATTCAAAATAAACACACTTTCGTTTCGTAGTTTCGGTTATACACAGAAGTTTTTTTTTCTTGTGATTTTCTTCGGAGTCGTATGATGTGTTGTGGTCGCTGTTGATTTATCTGTTAAAAATTCATTTACTTGGCACAACACGTTATTATTATGATTACACAATCGTAAAAATATCTGTCGCAGACTGACAAAAAAGAAGAAGTAGATATTCGCCGTGTTTCCACTTCGGTGTCAATAGAAATTTTTTTTTTCTTGTTTGTTTTCTGCTCACAGTTTGTTTTTTATGTTTAATTTTTTTCTCCTCAAAATGTTTTCTTGCATGTACTGGTGGTACCAACAAAATGGTATTTTTGACGGGATTTTTTAGTACGTACACGAATCAAAATACTTAATTGATTTAGATTGACCGAAATGTCGCAAAAATCTCGGTGTTTATATGCGAAAGCGTGTGCGGCAAAGGGAAAATGAATAGAATAAAAAAAAATATATACAACAAATCGACAAAGCACTAGATCTGCTGCTACGAAAACGGTATTCTGTTTTTAAACACTGACGCGATATACCGTTTTTATTTCCTTTCCCTCGTTCATTCACAGCGATATGATTTCGATGAAATTAGAAAATCAAAACAAACCACCCAATGAATCAAATGCTCTGATCACCACCATCGAATGGAGTCTATTGTTTGCAAATCCAAAACATTAACTATTGTTCGGTTAACTGACTCGAAAGGACGCGCTGATATCGTTGGAAAATCAATAAGGACTCTTCGCATTTGGTGCGCCCTGCGCAACAAACACTCTTCAACCGAATTTACCCGTTTAATCGAACCCTGTTTGCATGCACGGATTCATTGGCAAAATGGATATGATTTTCTTTGGCTAATGAATGAAAACCGTATAAAATCTTTCGAATAAAACGAATTCACATTTTACGTTTGGAAACTTATCTGAAAAAGCGAATTTTCCCATTAAAATGTTCCATTGAACTTAAATAGAGAGCATGAATCGACGTCGCCATCTTTTGCTTAAATCGCGTACCATCTCCGATGCTTTATTATGACATGTGCTTGTGACGTTTAAAAAACGTGCGATATTGTTACTATTTCCACATCAAAGTGCAAAATTTCAAAATATTTGCCGAAAAAAAGAGTCAACATTTGCTGTGGAAACAATCAATAGTCAAAATGTGTAGCATAGGTGAAGATGATTTTGGTGACGAAGGTGGAGTGCACACAATGCAGGCGGATCCAAAATTGCCGGCCAGTGCAATCGTTTCGGATGAAATTTGTAAAAAATGTAATGAACAAACGGTGGCTGTGAAGCTCAATCTCAAAGATGCCCAGTGTGAATCGTGTTTCTTCCAATATGTTCGACACAAACTGCGCGCAGCAATGGGATCATCGAAGTTAATTGAACGTGGTTCAAAAGTGTTACTCGTATTTGATGGCACATTTGAAGCTTGTGTATTGTTGGATATGATACATTATGCGGTGTCACAGGAGCAATTCAAGCGATTAACCATCCAACCGCACGTTGTTTACGTCGACGATACTTGCATTTCAAGGCGATCGATAGACGAACGACAAGCGAAACTTGACGAAACTTTTAGAATTCTACAGCATTTTGGAATCGAAACGTATTATGCATCGATTGCTAGCGAAGGGGCAACAATAAAAGCGCAAAGTTTACAACTCAATCAACAAGAACAATTGGCTGCCCCAGAAGAAAAGTTTGTCAAGAAATTCAATGCGATCGGAAATCAAACCGCAAAAGAAGACTTTATCAATGTGCTCAAAATGAACATTTATCGTGCGGTCGCCGCACAAATTGATTGCAAATATGTTTTTGTGCCATCGATTGGTCATGAAGTGGCGACGAATTTACTTGTTAATGTGGCATTGGGACGTGGAAAATCAGTTGCCAACGACATTTCATTCTGTGATAATCGATCGAATGGTGCGGCCAAAATCATACGACCAATGCGAAATATCAGTTCACTGGAGGTTGAAACATATATTCGGCTGGACGAATCACTCAATCGCCTCACACAAAACACCAGCTACTTGAATGTTCCGGGCCAAAAATCAGTTAACAGTATACAAAGTCTAACCAAACAATTTATTGACAATTTACAAGAGAACTTCGCATCAACGGTGTCAACAGTGTTTCGAACGGGCGACAAAATCTCGGCTGCTGCTGCAACAACACAAACGTCTGAATTGGATGGTGACAAGCCAAAACAAACATGCAAATTCTGCCATTCCGATTTGGACTATGAACATTCATCCACGCTATTTGCCATCGAATATTCACGCTGTGTGTCGGCCTGTGCCGATCAAAACGAAGTCAACGATGTGGATTTGATGCTGAAAAAGGCTGAAGATCAAGTGCTTGGCGGCAAACACGATGACAACACGGACAATCTTATCAAATCACTATGCCACGGCTGTCGAAACATTTTTCGCGATCTAAATGAACCCAATTCATATGTTCAATAAATTCAATTCATATTTATACTTTTAATATATTGATTTATTATACGTGCTTTGCTTAAATAAAAAAAAAATTGTATTTTTTTTACAAAGAAATTTTTTTAGTCGTATGTTCGTTTAAAATGCAATGTTAGTAAATTGTTTGAATTTTTTTTGAGCCGGATGCATGATAATTTGAAAATAGTTTTCTGAAAGAGAAATCTGATCAAGTGGAAGATTGGCATCTAGGCCTTTTCTTTGCCAGTAGTCAGAAGATGCAAGGCTTTTTCTAAATTATCGATTGCTGCTTTAACATCATCAAAATTAAGAGCACTTCCGGCGTATTTACAGTATTTTTGTGCCTTGGCCATTTGGTCGGCAGTGAGAGCAACATTTGCCGGTGGTGGCTCATACTTCGGTATTGATGTTCCGTAACTAGTCGGGACGTATGGTTGAAAACCACCCGGGTTCTTTGTTTCTGGATCAATCGGCGGCGATGGAAGTTTGTCAGCTGAAAATGGCAATTTTGGTTTAGGGAAAAGACTGATGGAAATTTTATTCTTTTACGAGCTTATAAGCTCGTAGTTTGAGAAAAGAAAGTTTGCTTGCACTTGCAGTAAAATATAATGCGTAGTTACAATTTGTCTTACCATTGATTTCAGTTGGATGTGGTTTGAATTCAATTGGGCTGTGTGGTGGTGGTGGTGATGGATCGTTTCGTGGTGGTTCAGGGTCATCAGCCGGTGCCTGAGGAGGTGAAAATGATCCATTGTCATTGCCCGGATTGCTCGATGGTCCGGGAACGGCATTGTTGTCATCACTTTCTCCTTCACCTCCTTCACCTTCGTTCGGTGGACCTGGCACTGGCATCTCACCGTTCTTCAAACACGTATGAATGTATGCCGCTTTGTATTTGGCGTACTTTCGTTTATCCGCCGTCTCTACGCTCAATTCACCGAATGTCAACAATGTGTCAGCGATAACGCCAGCCGTATAAAATGCTTTTACCACATTCCTTGAGATCACGAAAAAAAATAATAAATAAACAGGGTTAAAATACTATCATCGCCAATAAATAATGAATCGCATATCAATTACTTGTTAAAGTTTGAAGCTCGATCTTGTTGATCAGCATAGGTGAACAATTTCATAGCATAATTTTCCAAGTAGGCCTGTGCTACGACATCGTTGGTGATTGCTTCATTGTCATGGTGTTCCTTCTTGAATTGTTCTAACCAATCCATGATACCTACATTGTTGTAACATAAACAAAACATTGTGAAATTGTACAAAACACAACGAATTGAACAGTCAATTCGTCGAATCCACCGAGTCAGTTCACTCACTCAAGAACAGTGCAGTCTCCTCTGGCTGCTTTGTGGATAGTTTCAATCCACTTTGAAGGGCATAATACCGACACCAATAGCTCACAACTGGATCTCGTCCATCTAAACGTCGCAATTTTTAAATGGTTTTTGATCGATCGAAACAATGAAATATGACGTCATTACACTTAATCATCAATGCTTGACTTTTTTTTTAAATTTTCCTCAACTCACCGTGTTCCTGTGCTGTTTTCAAGAAATGGGCTACTGGTTTCAAACTTTGTGGAATGGCTGGGAAATTAGCCATCGTTTATGAAATACAGAAATTATTGAAGACGAAAAAAAACTCAACAATTTTAGAAGACCAACAAAATATTTCGCAATTGACAATGTTTTTATTATGTTATTTTTCCCCAATGAAATCACCGTTTGACAGCTACTTTGTTTAAATGTCATTGCAAATCTTCATTACCGATTCGTTTATTTTCATCAGTAAATTGGTTGTTACCTTATCGTCGGTATAGAAAAACTCGTACCATTCGAACAAAAACGACCGTTATTTCAGTTGGTGAAGAAGTGGCACGGAATTGTTGTGTAATGTAGGTCATATTTGCCCCGAGGAAACACAATCCGTTTTGATTCCAACGGCAATTTGATATTCCGCCGAGCCGCGCACACAGAAATTCGTGCATTTTTTATTCATGGAAATGGGAGCGTTTTTTGTTGTCGTTTTGTTGGTCGTTAGCAGCAATAAGATTGCCATACAAAAATTTGTCACAAAAATATATATCAAATGTATTGTGCACATTGTTCATGAATAATAAATGAGCAAAATGGCAGTTTGGTTTCCTGGGGTCTATGTCGTGAAATGGCGGAAATGAGCGCGCGCGAAAAAAAGCCGCCCAAGAGACAGAGGAAAAATGAACATTAAGCCAATTGTATCGCAAAAATTATGGCAATAACCAAACAAAGTAATCATTGTACACGTTGCGCTAGTAGACACGTGTTGAGCAGCAATGGCAATTGTGACTTGCAATTGATTGCCGGGAGAGAATGAGATAGAGAGAGAGAGATCAAGTTCAGTTGGCAATCTTTACAGTTGAAGTCACAGCAGAAGCGGAAACCAAAGGGGAGAATAGAACAACAGCAGCAGCAGCAGCAGGAGCAAGCACAACACACGTAAATCAGTTACATGGTTGCTTTATTCTTTCCTCATTCTCCAAATTTATATGTCATCTGAATTTCAAACAAATTTCTACTTGGAAGCCAGGATGCAGCGCGAAAAAAATTAATATGAACGAACGAAGAAAAGTGGTGCATCAACAAAGGCGTAAAATATATTAAGGGTTAGCGCGCGGACAAATAAAACAGTGCAACCATGCTCGAACGGCGAAGAATCATCGCATCATTGTCGGTCGGGATAATGTTGTGTTGTGTTTCTGGATTCCATGTGGATTGAGTCGTTGTTTTTGTCGTGCGCAAACTCGGACCCATTCGGTGGAGAGATGGATAGAGAGCGGGAGTTGTTGGTGTAGTATAAACACGCAATGCACTGTGTTGTACCGTACACGCCAATGTGCTTCTATGCGTTATCCTCTCGCTGATGATGACTGGGAAAATATGCACAGGAACGGAAAATACATTCGCTCTGTGCACATCGCACTGCCGATATTGCCATTCGATGTCATGCTAGGCTAAAAATCCTACAACACGAAAACAGCCACCGCTCGTTGTTCTCGTTCGCATGAGCTTTTCTACGCGGAAAAACATCATGTGCTTGTTAGTCGTGTTTGTATGTCGGTCAATCAAGCAGCCCTTATCGTATTGCTGACGTTTTTTTTTGTTTCGTTTTCATTTCGCCGAATATTTTTACGTAAAATCATCGCACAGTCACACACATTTTGAACGGCGTGTTCGGCATACGAACCGTCACTTTTGGTGTGTGCAACTGATGTTGAATACAGAGAATTGAAATTTTCAATAACGGACGATGAATAAAAACAATCTTATTGTGTTCGGGTAATTGTTTACTAACTGAATCCATATTTAGTTTTTTTTTGTCTTTTGATGTTTGGTGACGATGTTCGATCTTCGTTGAAATTTACCAATAAACTCACCTCGTGCGCATAGTTGTGAGAAATGTGTGATATCTTGATCAATGCAACATTGATCGATGCGTTATTATTGTGCGGCCACAAAGCAAAGTGATACGTTAATCGTACATAATTAAATTGACATATTTTCAAAAACATTGTATTCACAAACTAGGCTAGAAAAAAGACTCAAATTATTCACTTGATTTATTGCATAAAATAGACCAAAACATTTCCGTGGTGAGAAATTGAATTGGTGCTGTACATGTTGCCGAATAAAATCAAAATGCCCGCTATTTTTCGTTGAATGCACGAAAACAAAGTTGCGAATAAAGTTACGAATTATTATGTAAACAAAACGTGTGTGCATCACTATCATTAATTTCAAGAATCCTACCCCACCGTTCCGCAACGCCATAGACGTACACACGGAATTTACAGTTGGAGACAGACCAGTAGACGACAGCCTAAAAACTCGTATTCAAAAACGGTAAACATTAGTAGTAGACACAGTTAACTGGGTAGAAGGGAAAAAAAAGTACTCCAATTAAATGACAACAGTGAAAACATACACAGAAATCTCCACGAAAAAAGCGCCCTTCAAATATTTAAATTACTTGATCTAAGTCAGCTGCCCAAGTCATCAACAATCAAACAATTCAAAACAACATTTTTTTTGCATTTCGTTCGTTCGTTCGGTCTGTGTTTTTCAATCTCCGCTTATTTCGGCCATTTCGCATTGAATCCAATACACAAACTTGTGTGAATGCCCAAAAACTTTTGGCTGCAAAGCAATAGTTTCGAACATTACTTGTTAATTAGTCGTCTAATTAGTTCGTCAAAGTTTCATTTGTTAGAATCGTTCAGTACTTTTTTCGACGTAGTGGTCGAACGAGGATCATTTGTCATTTCGTCGGACTGTCCTACCGAGAGCAAAAAAGCAAGCAGAAGCATTATATTTTGCGTGCGTCTCCCTCACTCTTTGTGTGTGTTTTGTAAGACTAAGGTCACATCGAAGAAAATTTTCGAAGAATGAATTAAAGTTCAGATGCGGTTCGTTCAGTGTTTTACTTCTCTGCTTTTGCTACATCTTCTGGATGTACCATGGGAATGATAACACAACGAATTTCAAAAAATTATTTTCGAGCATCGTCAATGAAATTCAATGTGTTTGGGAAATCTGATAACATTTTTCTGGTTGCTGGTTGCTCCTCTGCTTCATGTTGTTGTTACTGTTGAACAAAATTCATGCACGACACCGCAACCAACATTCTTTTCTTCAACTACGGAATGCGTACACTGGTGTTGTTGTAGATTTTTTCTATCTTTCTCTCTTCATATTCAAGATAATGTAGATTATCCCATTTCCATACACCCCCGGAAATCTTTTTCGCTCTCTTTTTTTATTATCTGCGTTTATTTGGCTTTATTGTTGCGCCATTTAAATCCCTAATGAGTTATAAATACAGTTATTATTTTCAAGTCATCTTTTAAGCTCTTGATGCTTTTTTTTTCTTTCTTACCCTCTCTCTTTCTCGCTCTCTCTCTCTCTCTCATTTTCAGTGCGCTCACGTTCGTGGAAATCCCAGTGCATTTTAGTTGCCTTTGCTAGTGTACGAGTGCTGTTATTGAGATGTGTCGGTCTTTGATGTTGAGTCAAAAAATGAAATTATTATTGTTAATAATGACTTCAGAAGTCTTAAGGTTTTCGCTGTTTTCTACACGTCTAATGTACTTTGCTTCGCTTTTTCATTTAATGTAGCGCCGTTCTTTTTCTTCATTCGCGTCTTTATTACACACTCGATGCGAATATTTATGCGACATATTACCTTCCGAGAAGGTAATATTCACATTGAATTCGAAACGTCGACGTGGTGATTCAAAGAAAGCCGCACAACTTTAAACGAATGTAAATTCGATGGGCATAAACATTTTATGCTTCATTCGTTTCTCATTCACAAGTGCCGATTTTCGTCGTCGACGCCGTCGTCATTGAGGCCACTGATTTTTTTTTCTCGAGAAACATTGAAGCAAGTGATTTCCAGCGTTACTTTTATTTATATTACAAAAGACCATTTGTTTATATTGCCGCGTGAAATGTCCTAGTCTACTTTATTGTAACAAACAGACGAAATGGGAATGAAAATATCATAGAAATCACATTTCGTTTCCTATATTTTTAGCAAATCAAATCAATAAAAATTGAATAACACGATAACGATATCGATTGCTTATCGCGTTTTCATGGAAAAATGCAAATTCTTGATATTAAACTGCAATGTAATTTGATAGAATAGAGAGACAGAGCGAGGAAAAAAACGCAATGATTCGAATTGAATCAATGAAATGGAATCAGAATAGTATCATTTCCGATAAGCTCACAATCATTCGGAATATCTAATGCACGATGAGTTTCCAAGTAAAAATGAGAGTTCGTCTGCGTGACGACTTGAATGGCAAAGGAAAACGATTTAACAACTCAATACATCCATTAAATTGAGATTTTCTATTAAAACAATAGCGTATCGCAATGAGTGTGATCTTTTGGACTTTGCCTTCTATTTCGTTGCCTATATTCGTTTTTTTTTGTTCTTGTTCTTCTTTTTTCGGCATACTTTTTAGCGACTTCCCTCTTTATCCAGTTCTTATCATTAATAATCACTTAAGAAAATGTTGTGCCGACTTTGATGACTCAGTCATATTTTCTTTTTTGCTCCCGTCGCGCTACACCAATCTCAGCAAACATAGTTACATCTAGAACGTCGTTACATAAAATATTATTTATTGTACAATCGATAAGAACATATGACATTGGTGGGCGAACCGAGCCATCAACAAATAGTAATCAAGTTGAAATTGTCCGAAATTTATTGAATACACATAAATCGAAATATAAACATTGCACGATGGTGTTAGTTTAACCGGAGGGTTGGCAGAAAAAAACACAGAAACAGCGATAGAGCAGTAGCGGCATCAGCAATAGGCAGAGGCAGAAATAACGTACACGCATCCATCTAGAACAGTACACATTATTATGGGCACGACAAAAAAATTTTTTTTCCCCACAATTCATGTACTCGACATCAATTTCTTGCTAAGCGTTACATTACACAAAATATGAGCGAATGTGAGAGAGAGAGAGAGAGAGAGCGAACGAGAAAAAGAAGAACGCAAATAAACGTGAATTAGGTTAACTCTACTTGTGGTAATAAAGCTGCTCTTTCGTTGCCGTTGCCTGCACTGCCTTTACTGACATGTGTTTAGATTATGCGGTATTTATTTCAAAGTTATCATAATAAATTTAGCAAAGAACTGAGTTGAATGAGAGAAAGAGTGAGTGTGTGTGTGTATGTG